TGCATATTTCTCCTGCTGCGTGTTTAGGCCTGAGCAAAAGCAGTGCGCCAGTCATATGAGGAAAATGTTGGAAAGATTAACACTGTTGGAAAAATGTAGCCTTTAAGCATAATTATTTCAATTTAGGGAAATTGTCCTTTTTCATTTATTTGTGTTTCCTCCAATTCTAGCACCAACCGGGGGACCTGTGCCTGTTTATTTTTGACTAAGCCAGTTTAAACGTGACCTATATTCCCAAAGGAGAACTGTTTACTGACTGGGGTTTTGACGTTTTAGTGCGGGAGTGGAACAAGGCTGCTCTGTCGGGACAAATCTTCCTGTGTGGGTGTGCTCGTTTATGAATGAGAGTGCATTTATTTATGTATAAGAGGAAGCAATGGCAATTTTCTTAACAGTTGCATAACACTTGGTGTTTGATATGCGCTACTCCAAGGGATGCTAGGTCTTTGACTCCAATATTTTGTTGCCAGATTGACATTTACACGTTTTTTTTCCAACTGTTGAACATCTTCTATCAGTCAATCAATAATCTTTGCTTATATAATGCTTTCCACAACTGTCTGAACAAGGGATATCAGAGAAAATCACATTTCATAACCATTAATAGAATGCGCTAAACACAAAAATAAAGAGAGCAATCAAAAACAAAAGATTAATAAAGGCCAAATAAAAAATCCTGTTTAATCAACCCTGCAGTGACGGCGCATGTCTGACGGTTGATGGTGGCGTGTTCCAGAGTGTTTGAGCTCCTTGAAAAATTGTGACCTTACAACAGCTTTTATTTGCACATCCATTTTTAGACCTGTCTCCAGTGTTACCGCTAGGTCGGTGATGACCACCTTTTCGTACGAGGTCAGTACGGTGGTTCATCAGGCCTCTCTCACTAGGTCTAAAGAGTAGGACCTCAGTCAACTTTATCATTGAAATTTAGAAACTTCAGTGCCATCCAGGACCTGATGTTTCCCAAACAATCCAGAAAAGATGGACTAGAGAGCATTGATCCTTTCTGCAACAAAAACATACCTGTCAGTTATGTTTGCAGAAAACCTGGCAGAGAACAAGAGTGTACCAAATATAGCACCCTGTGGCACCTCCCATCAGAAGATCATGCAGGAGGATGAGCACTCACCCATCATGGCCCTAAGGCTCTGGTGTTGCAGATAGGATCTCACCAACTGCAAAGCTTCTTAAGCAGAGGGTGAACAACAACTTGCTTCAAAGCATTCAGGACTTCATTAGTATATAATTGTAAGAATGAAACAACCTACTGCAGGGAACGCCTCTTTAAAAGATGTTAGAGATTCTCTTCTGTGCTATCTTTCCACCTGGGATTTTCCTGTATTTCCACATGAAGATGTCCCAAGCCTTCCACTGACAGTTTTATCTCATTTGTTCCTCATGTGTCTCGTTTCAGTTGTTTTGTGCAGCATCTGTGTTTTTTCCACAGTGTCAGTTTGTGTTTGCAAGTTGTCCATGTTTTCATTAGACAGCTGGACGCATCCCAGAGTTTCGCCATGGATACTCGTGACTTCTGACCCTCACATACAAATACAGAGCCACAAAACACACAAAGTGTGTGCTCTCAGGTCGACTCCATCAGATTCTGGGCTTTAGTGTGTCATGAATGTTTGTTGGCTCTGACATTTCTTTGAGAAGGGACTCTGCTGTTTTCCAAGAATAAAGCGTGTAAGTTGTTTTTTGAACATGTTGCTAATTAAATCCAGTTATTTCTGTCACTGTGCCCGTCTGAGGAGCCTCCAAGCAGAGTTCAAACCCATCCATGTGTGTGTGTATCTGCTGTCTTCTGCTTTCTGCATGTTTGCTCAAGAACAGGATGACTCATATTGTGCGTGTGTGTGTGTAAACCAGAGCACCATGTCGTCCTGAGCTTCCAGAACATCATCTCTCAGCTCAGTGAGTCACTCATCAGGACCGGGGGTTGATCAGTTGATGCTTTTCTCACTGATTGATTCTTTCTGCCGTGAACTCAGTCATTTGTGACACTTGGGAGATGTCCATCCATCCATTTTCATCCGCTTATCAGGAGTCGGGTCGCGGGGGCAGTAGCCTAAGGCAAGAGGCCCAAACTCGCCTCTCCCCAGCCACTTGGGCCAGCTCCTCCGGGGGAATCCCAAGGCGTTCCCTGGCCAGGTGAGAGACATAGTCCCTCCACCGTGTCCTGGGTCTACCTTTAGGCCTCCTCCCGGTTGGACATGCCCAGAAAACCTCACCAGGGAGGCATCCAGGAGGCATCCTGACCAGATGCCCAAGCCACCTCAACTGGCTCCTCTCGATGTGGAGGAGCAGCGGGTCTACTCCGAGCCCCTCACGAATGGACGAGCTTCTCACCCTATCTCTAAGGGAGAGCCCAGTTACCCTGTGGAGAAAACTCATTTCGGCCGCTTGTATCTACTGTCTCATTCTTTTGGTCACTGCCCAAAGCTCATGACCATAGGTGAGGGTAGGAAGGAACGTAGATCGACCGGTAAATCGAGAGCTTCGTCTTCTGACTCAGCTCTCTCTTCACCACGACAGACCGGTACAATGCCCGCATCACTGCAGATGCAGCACCAATCCGCTATCAATCTCACGCTCCAGTTTTCCCTCACTCGTGAACAAGACCCTGAGATACTTAAACTCCTCCACTTGGGGCAGGACCTCATCCCCGACCCGGAGAAGGCATTCTACCCTTTTCCGAATCAAGACCATGGTCTCAGATTTAGAGGAGCTGATACTCATCCCAACTGCTTCACACTCGGCTGCAAACCGCTCCAGCGAAAGCTGAAGATCACATTCTGATGAAGCCAACAGAACCACATCATACGCAAAAAGCAGAGACCTGATCCTCAGGCCACCAAAACGGATGCCCTCCACACCTTGGCTGCGCCTAGAAATCCTGTCCATAAAGGTTATGAACAGAATCGGTGACAAAGGGCAGCCTTGGCGGAGTCCAACACTTACTGGGAACGAGCCCGACTTACTGCCGGCAATGCGGACCAAGCTCTGACACCGGTCATACAGGGACCTAACAGCCCGTATCAGCAGGCCTGGTACCCCATACTCCCGGAGTACGCCCCCACAGGGCCCCCCGAGGGACGCTGTCAAGCGCCTTCTCCAAATCCATGAAACACATGTAGACTGGTTGGGCAAATTCTGCACCTGACCCCTTTGGCCCCTCCCACGAGTGGTGAGCCCATGGGAAGGGGGCCCAGCCGGGCTCCATGGGTGAAAGCCCGGCCACCAGGCGCTCGCCAACATGCCCCACCTCCAGGCCTGGCTCCAGAGGGGGGCCCCGGTGACCCACGTCTGGGCGATGGAACATGGTTTCCATTTATATAATTCATCATAAGAGGTCTTCGGGCTGCTCTTTGTCTGATCCCTCACCTAGGACTTGTTTGCCATGGCTGACCCTACCAGAGGCAGAAATCCTCAGGCAACTTAGCTCCTAGGATCATTGAGACACTCAAACCCCTCCACCACGGTAAGGTGGCAGCCCAGGGAGACTTGGGAGATGTTCTCTAGCTAAAGGCTTCCTTTCTTCTGGAATTTCGTTGTTCCATCTTTTCCTGTTTTTCATTATAAGATGACTTTTGAATTTGACCACTAATACCTTTATCCCTGTTTACATGTACGTAAGAAAGCGGAACTCTCAGGTGAAGTTCGTTCCACCCCGGTACAGTAGGTAGTGTTCTTCTGGTTAGCTTATAGCAATGCAAATAGTAAACAAGCACTGGTGGGAGTGAAGCAGACCAAGGCAAAGCGGGATATGATCAAAGGAATGGACAACAACGACGCTGCAGCACAGCTCATTTGGAATTTGTTTCCACCGGGAACGGAGCAGCGCGTCTCGATAGCATACCAGAGGCAAAGTGTCGCAGCATTGCTCTGAGTTTTTTACGTTGCAGTGTAAAGCAACTTACAAAACAAAATACCTGTGCAGATTTCCTATTGGTTAACCTTAAAGTGACAGTGTGTATTTTTCCTGGTGATAGGGGCAGTAGATGCCTAAATTGTTGCAAGCAAGCTGCATTTTTGTGCTGTAGTAAGACCTTACCAACGGATGCCTATTAGGGTCAAAAAGCCCTTGGGAGGGTCAAAAAGCCCTTGGGAGTGCAAACTTGAGAAAAATAACAGGCACATCAGACTCCCTTTTAGGGCTGGACGATATGGACCAAAACTTGTATCTCTGTTGGCTGAATTCCGATATACGATATATATTTTGATATTTTTCCTCCTGTAAAACATTAACAAGTTAACTCACTTCAAGCTGAGAAATTATATACATAAATCAGTAGATTAATGCATAACAATGTATTGATTCTTGTCAAACTTTAACCTCGGTGCCTATTATCTGGTACAGCTGTCTGCTAACACACACACACACACACATATCTTGTCCTTGGGCAAGACACTTAACCCACGTTGCCTGCTGGTGGTGGTCGGAGGGACCGGTGGCGCCAGTGCTCGGCAGCCTCAGCTCTGTCGGTGCGCCCCAGGGCAGCTGTGGCTACATCGTAGCTCATCACCATCAGTGTGTGAATGGATGAATGATACACTGTAATGTAAAGCGCTTTGGAGTCCTTACTCTGAGAGGCGCTATACAAGTGTGGGCCATTTATCATATTTCCAGAGATTAACAATAAAAACTACACATTGTCCCTTTAAAACAGGTGTCATAAAGCGATGAACAAAATAAAACCAAAAGCTATCTTTCTCCTTGCTTGTTATCTAGTGAAATCACATGTGATCTTGTCGTTCTGTGATTCTGTGATAAGAGGAATGCATTTGCAGCTGCTGCACACCTGAAACAGTCATGATAGGAAGCGACGCATCGGTAAAGTCATGGCGAAAACGTGTCTTTTACCGTAGAGATCCGGTGGAAAACCTGGGTTAGCTAATGTTGGGTTGACTTAAGAAAATCCATCTTCAACCTGCGACTTCACCAAGATTATTATGAATCAGGCTGTCATACGTTAGTTATTGCTGTTTTTGTGTCCCAGCCCTTTTCAGGTGACCAGATGGACGACTTCAGCACTGAGTTATTTAACAGTTTCTTTGACGACCACCTGCAAGAGCGCCCCCTGCTGGCAGACAGATCTTCTCCTCTACACCTCAGCATGGACAGCAGCCCAGGTGAGTTCAATAGAATCAGCACAAAACTCCTGACGGCTTTAAAATAAAAGAACAAACCCAAAGAAAGTGGAAACACGTTTAAAAATTAACCATTTTATTCAAATGCATTAGTGGTTTTGTTTTGACTTCTAAAATAATGTTTGTTTTCTGGATTAGCACGAGCCCTTCAGCAGCCAACTTTAGGCTTATAAAAGACGTTTGTTTTGATATGACAGCCCAGGCACCTACTGTATCTAAACGTCACGCCTTCCTGACGTCACACCCAGCTCCTTCCAGACCTCAGAGGTCAGACATCATGATATAAGAGGCAGCTTCTTTGTCTTTGCCAAGTTTGAGACCTCCAAACATCTGCCGTTGCCCCCAGAGGGATTCATGCTAGCCTCACTGGATGCAGGACCCTGGTTTTTCTGCTCAGTCTGTCGTCATCTCGCCCATCTCATCACCTCACATCAGTGTCTCTGTCAGGTGTTGCCATGGTCACACAAGCAGGGAAGAAACGATAGAATAAAGGGTTTGTTGTCATGAGAATTCTAGGTGGAAGTAATGAGATTACTCTGGAACGTTTTCATGCCAGATTAGCATCCACAGCAGACAAGGTCAGAATTTAAATGTGCATCTTTTTAGCCTTGTCGAGATCTGCGTGATGCATTTATCCAAGATGGTCATTGTTCATGCCAGCTGCAGGGGTGCGTTTATGAATATCAATGGCAGCTGCGTTCACATACGGCGCACGGCCAGAGCCGTGGTTTTGGAAGCTTAAAAGGTGGCCTCCGTTGTGAGGTTACGCGTGTGGTGAGCACCTGCATGATGACATTCGAGCAGCCAACACAAGCACATCAGGCTGTTCCGTTTTCCATCCTTCTGAGAGGGGCTTTCTGATCTCACAGATATCCAGGCAGAGCACAGCTACTCTTTGAGTGAAGACTCCGCCCCCCAGAGTCCAGCCCTGTCAATCAAAATGGACCAAGAGTCTGGTGGGTCAATAACTTTGATACTTTCAGAATTTGTGCCGACAGGGCCAGACCAAACGCTTCCTGGGTGATCAGAGTTAACTCTGACTGGACCTAGGATCAGTGGGAATTCTCATCCATGGATGGAAGTTTAACTTAGACGTTAGAGAAGCTCCACATTCCTCTCTTGGTCTGTTTTTCTTCCACCTTTAGGCCTTCCTCGTCATCCTCACCCATCATCCACACGTCTTTGTCATCGGCTGTCTGTCTGTCTGTTTTCTCCGTTTGTCCCGGGGATCCTGCTGTCAGAGCAGCGGGATCCCAGTCTGAGCAGTTCTCCTCCAGCTAAGCCCTGCCCACCTAACACACACACACACACACACACACACACACACACACACACACACACACACACACACACACACACACACACACACACACACACACACACACACACACACACACACAATACTGTGACAAGCATATGGTTTTAGGTCTGCAGCTTTAGCCGTCGCCAGCGGAGACTCTCCTTCTCTCCTCTGTTCGGTTATCTCTCAGCTTTTCGGCTCCTGTTTTCTATCTCGCTGCTTCTCTGTCATCCTTAATCCATCCTAATCCACTTTGTCTGCATAAGTATCCATTACTTGCTTTGGCAAAATAACCACAGTTGGTTGGAGAAACCGTAGCTCAAGGTAAAAGAGCAACCGCCTGTCTATTCTCGTTGTAATTCATGAATACAAAACTATAGAGCAGAATATTTATTTTAAAATGTTAGAATAAAATAATCCAGAACCAGAAAGAATAATATTCTCTGTTTAAAATCTCCTAAAGTAGCTCAGATTTAAAATACTGGGTACAGATTCCCAATCTGCGGATTTCGATTTGTCCCAAAAACTGTAAAAACTGTAAATAAAATAAAAACTAAATACAATGTCCTTTTTAAAAATATTTTAATCTGAAAGTTAAAACTTCCACACGGAGCTTCTGTTATTGCTAGCATGAATTAGCGCTTAGCAGGGAGGTTAAAAACCTTTTCCAGGTCTGAAACCAAACAATTAAAGATATTTGTCTTAAATTAAAATATTTATAAGTAAAAGTATAAAAATTTTATTTTACTTTAGTTAAAGATAAATAATAATATAATAATGTACATCTGTATAAATTCCACCTTAGGAAAAGGTGTACATGCAAACCTTAGCCCAACCCACTCACCTGTGATGCTGCCCTGGCCGCTGATGAAGGCGTGATGTTTTAATCGCGTTCACCCCAGAGAAGCGCTGCTCACGCACGTTTATAGTCTGGCCAACATTGACCGCGTTCGAGCCGCGTACATGAGGAATCTGTGCCGCAGCACACGCAGGTCGACCTTTTGGAGGACTTCCAGCGGCTCTTTGGACCGCAGCATCAAACGAGTTTCTGAGAAGATGGAAAGCTTCAAAGTCATTCAACTCACCTGTAAATATTCTGTTCTGAACTTTCACGAGTCAACAAAAGCAACTGCTGGAAACATGATCCAAGATGTTTTTATTCCTGTCAGGACTTAACTTTCACATGTATAGAAGGGGGCGGGACCTAAAGTTTACTGGAACCAGCCACCAGAGGGCGATTTTAGCTCTTTATACTGCAGTGCATTCTGGGACATGTTGTTTTACTGGTTTTCATATCCCTGAGATTGAGGAGTGACTATTTGCCAACCAGAAGGTTGCTGGTTCAATACCAACCTCCTCTCCATATGTAACCCCAAAAATGCTCTTAAAAAGATCCCAGTGGGACTTTCCAATATAAAAATATTGTAAAGGTTTGGAACACTTTTTAACTCATTCACTGCCATTGACAACTAAAGCCGTCATTTGCATTATTTTACTGTGTGGGCATCGGAACGAGCCCCCACACCCCCGCACCGTGAGAACAAACATCTCCGCTCTAAAGCCGATCTTCATCCACATACGTCACGTGATCAGGAAGCAGAAAATCCATGTGTTAAGAGATCGCTTTGGGCCTCTGCTATAAAAAAAAGTGAGGCGCGAACCAGAAAGCTTCTGCCGATCACAATCCAACAACGGATTATGAAAGAATGAATAAAGCTCAAAACGCGCAAATTCTTCCTGATGTAAGAGGCCAGTCTCCGCTTTGTTTTGGTTGTTTTGGCGTCGACATCATTCTAGCGTGCAACTTTCTGCGACTCTTAAAAAAAAACAGTAAAAATGGGGAGAAACGCTGCCAGCGAATGAGTTAATAACACATTAGCAGTGGTCTCTAGCAGAAATGAATGCCTTGTTAGTCATTCTCGGGGGGCAAAAACCACCGGTGCACCATTTCCAGGAACTAGAGGTGAGCCACATCACAGCTGAGCTTTCCTGATACATTGACATCTCTCCTCTGATTGGCTAACAGCAACATGACTCTACCACTGACTCTGTTTGCTCTGCGACGTTGATGTTTTATCTCCACTAATACCACAAGCCTGGAGGAGTTCTGCTGTGTGATGAAGTTACTAATGCTAACGGTTAGCTTCTACTAGCTGAGAAGGTCTCTGCTGTTTCCTGGAAGCTAAACCAACAACAGCCTTCTCCGTCGTGAGTCCTTGAATGTTAAGTGACAGTGTGACGTAGTTCTGTCAGGATCCTCTAATCCTAGAGTTTCACCGTCTGTTTTCTATCAGAAGCTAATGCGGGAGATAGGTGTAGGAGACTATCTTCATGAAACACTCAAGAGTGACCCGTTAGAATCAGAAATAGTCATTAAAAAATTTTTTCAGCGTTCCGTACCTTCCGTGGTTGCAGATGTTTGGAGTTTGTTACATTTATGCACAAAGAACAAAGGTTTTACAGGTTTTATCAACATGTTTATTAACTTTAACATTCAATATATTTACACCTTTTCTTTAATATACTTATGCAAAACTGACCCCAACAGCCAATCAATGTGAAGCGCTTTGTATGCAGTAGATGCCAAATGTTATGTGATTTGTGACCAGCTCCGTGGCCTAATGGTAGTGTCCGCCCTGGGACTGGGATATCGGGGGATCAAATCCTGGTCGAGTCACACCAAAGACCCTAAAAAGGGGACCCAATGCCTCCCTGCTGGACACATTATGGGGTCGAATTGGGGATTAAACCACCAATGAGTTCCAGAGTGCAGCCACAGCTGCAGCACAACATTCCCCGCGGGGATGGGTCACATGCAGAGAACACATTTTGCACACACGTCAGTGTGTGTGACAGCTAACATGGCTTTAGCTTTAACTTTATTTGTGGTGCTATGAAGCCCCATCAGGTGGAGCGATCTGTGTGAATGGAGATGTCGAAAATCTCAGACATTTCCTCCTGGGAACTTGAACATCTCCGTCTCAGTGTCTGGTCTCTGGAGGAGCTGAAGAGGATTTAAGGATCCTTGTGCTGGCAGTCTTTTCGCATGCCCTCTCAGGGTCCGCCGGGAGCAAGAAAGTGGGAGCTGCAGCTTGTTCATCGTGATGAGTCAGGTTAATTAAACACCTACGGATGTTGGAAGTTCTTGACCTTTCCGATGCCGCTCCGAGTGAAGGGATTTGTTGTGTGGGGAGGATGAGGATTCTGACAGCGGCCCACTGAGCGGGTCGATGCGGCGTCGAGCCGTTGGAGTGAAACTACTGATGCTGTGCTCTCATGACCAAATAAAGCCAGTTCATGCTTCACGGAACACGGTTTTTCCAAACATTTCAGCTTGAAATCACAGACCGTTTATTCTACTGATAATATTTTTACAAAAATTAAGTGTGTCTTATATTTTGCATGCAGTCATGATTGGAGTGGGATTTAAATGTCTGCTGTGGTCTCCGGTTTTCTGTGAAAACATAGTTCTGGTGCTCCTGTTTCCAGAAGTTAGTCGGAGGGGTTTGCGGTTGAAAAATGACAAGATTCCTATTCTTACTCATTAAAATTCATGATATGCAAAAGTGTCCCCTCTGATTGGCTAAAAACAACAATAATCATCGGTCATTTGGTCATTCTTATTTCTTAAAAAAAAATGCAACGTTGATGAATTATCTCCACAAAAAACACAAGCCTGTACATATCCCACCATGTTGTTGCGTTGCAAATGCTAATTGTTAGCTTCTACTCGCAAAGGTGCACGGTGCTCACTCCTTCCCGCAGGTGGTCCCAAGCCAAGGTGGGCGGAGCCATAAATGCTAATTGTTAGCTTCTACTAGCCGAGGTGCACAGTGCTCGCTCTTTCCCGTTGGTGGTCCCAAGCCAAGGTGGGCGGAGCCATAAATGCTCATATTTAGCTACTGCTAGCCGAGGTGCACTGTGCTCGCTCCTTCCTGTAGGTGGTACCAAGCCAAGGTGGGCGGAGCCATAAATGCTCATATTTAGCTACTGCTAGCCGAGGAGCACTGTGCTCGCTCCTTCCTGTAGGTGGTCCCAAGCCAAGGTGGGCGGAGCCATAAATGCTCATATTTAGCTACTGCTAGCAGAGGTGCACTGTGCTCGCTCCTTCCCATAGGTGGTCCCAAGCCAAGGTGGGCGGAGCCATAAATCATCATATTTAGCTACTGCTAGCCGAGGTGCACTGTGCTCGCTCCTTCCCGTAGGTGGTCCCAAGCCAAGGTGGGCGGAGCCATAAATGCCCATTTTCCTTGTGACACAGAAGAGACGGGCTTTTGCTGACCCAATCCTTTTTCCTAATGCTCTTTCCTTTCTGTTGCTAACGCGGACGATGGGGGTTAAAGAAATTTTCTCATTTAAAATATTTATTGGATATACAATATGGCCGCCACAGCCGAAATGACACAGTCAAACATAAAAAGGGCTTCATGTCTGTCCGTTTTACAGATACTAAGCAAAACTCTGTTGCCTTAATAGTTGAGTGTTAACACATAGCACACATAGGACACCACAATTCCTTAACTTACGTTAAAAATCTGACATGCAGCAGTCCCTGTAGGAATACTAAGCTTTTCACTTGTTGTATTTGAAGCCTTCATATAAAAAATAACTACGCCTAGACACTCTGGTTTGTAGAAACTACCACATAGCGAATGCCTGTTTCTCTAAAAAGAACTGAGGAACATTGTCCCATTGATTTTTTTTCCTCCCTCCTTTTGGTCTTTGCTGTCGTTGCTCTTCTCCAAAGAGAAGCTGTGAGTTTTTTACAGCAGCTCCTGTTGCGCTGATCCATCTAATGTTTTAATACGACTCCCACCCAGCTGAGATCAAACACAGTCCCCACCTCTCCTCCATTAACCCCCTGCCATGACTGCCTGGAGCTTTGCTTATTACCACAGATTTCTTACCTGCGATTAGAGCGTTTCACCTTCACAGGAAGGCTTCCTTCATTACCGACATCCCAGAGAAGCCCCGTAAAACCGGAGCTTTCCTCAGCAGCTCTAGCACCGACCCAACACCGGGCCGGATCGTGGCATTAGCACCTTTTCCCTTTTCTAGCTAATATATTTGTCTTAATCCAAGTTTCCCCAACAGTAATGAAAACAGTTCCTCACTACAACAGCCACATGTGTAAATGAGTGTGCATTAGCTCTCTGCTAAAAGCTTCTGGTTCTCATTAAAGATGCTGGTAGAAGGTTTCCAATCAGACCCTGGCTTAATGAGGGCAGAGGACTTAACAAGGCTCAGGCTAACAGCAGGACTGGCCTCATTATCAGAGGCGACTGTGGCTCGCTCTGATAAAGCAGATGAAGGTAAATGATGGATCCATGCCAAAGCTGTGTCACTTCTGATGGCTTTTGCTGGATTCTGGAAGAAATTCAGCCAGCTAGCAAGGGACGTTGGCAACAAATATCTGCCTTAGCGTCCAAAAAGGGACAGTGAGACATCTTTTCTTAGACATGTGGACCAAAGGTTGGCTGATGTCATAAATCAACAGAACGTCTCAATGCTAGCTAGGTGCCGCATTGTTTACCAGGGAAAAGGGTAGCATCAGGATGCACAGTGGGGTCGTTACAATAATGTGGGTGTGTTTAAACATTTACCATCAAGCTGAATTTCTCTCCAGACCACACACAGCCTCACACAGCAGCTGCCATTCTCCAGCTCCGACCGTAGGAGCCTCGTGTGTCTTAAGCGTGGGTAAAACTTGCCTTGGAGGTCATAAAAAGACGAGCTGAACAATAAGATCCAGACAGAAGAACTGAATCGAACAGAAGAACCAGCAGAACAGAGGAAACCAGGAAGTATGTACACAAAAAGCCATCACAACTCACAGTAGGTGTTTCTGAGAGGAGACCAGCACAACTGATCCAAGCAACTAAGGCAAAAGCACTATGAAAACTCAAAGCATAAGAAAAAGCTCCAAAACCATCAGAATCGGCCTCTATTCTAGCTGATAGGTGGTGCTTCTCTCAGCATGCCATCCAACCTTTATGTATGTTTTTCAGGCTCATTCCTGATTGGCCCCGTCGTTTTTGTTCTGGTGTGTTCTAACCAACATGTGGAACAAATACAGCTGATAGTAATAAACGTCTCCATTGGCTCCGGTTCTTAGGTTGCAAATCAACTTGGATCTTGGCAGAGCCGAGTCCGGGTTTGCTTCTGATACCGACGCCACACGCTGGATTGTTTAGTTTGCAGCCCTGGGGACTCGTTATTAAGATGGCCGCGCTGTAGTGACGGACGGCGAGCGTAGACCTCCTGTTTGAAGCACACACAGATATACACAAAGCTTGTAAACTTGGGAGCGTTTTACCAGCACAGCGTTGCTAGGAGACCCAGAGGTGATTAACGTGACGTTCTCTGCAAACACACACAGGAGCCGCTTCCTTCCAGAGCACCTTGTTGTCTGTCCAGATATATGAGGAGCTAAATAGATGAAACCCGCTCACTCCTGTCCCTCTACCTGATGGTACCTTAAACTCTGTGGAAGGTGTTTCCCCATTCATAATGAGGTCCTTTTGGCTACGCTGACCGCTGTAACTAGTGGTGGACGGACCTTGGTTAACCCTAACCCAGGCTGATCTGGGCGTTCTACACCTCTGAACAGAAACAGACACACCTAGCATTCCTGGAATCTCCTGCATCCAATTTCAGTTTTAAACTGAAGAAAGGATGCAGTTGTAGCCCGAGTGTGTTGTGACGGACTCTAGGCTGCTGCCACATTTTAGCCCGACGTCATAAGAGACCGAGTTGGAGCCAGTTTGGTGTTTGATATGGTCACTTTGCTTTGGAGGCCATTTTGGCTTGGTAAATCACTTTAAGATGCACATCCAATGATTGCTTTCTAAACGTATGGTCTCATTCACTCCTTTTAATAATATGTTAGCTGTATTCTCTTTTGTTGGAGGACAGAATTATCACTCCCACTCATTAATATTCATGATGTGCACATCTGACCTCTGATTGGCTAAGAGCAGCGCAGCCCGTCTGCTGCTTTTGATGTTTTATCTCCACAAATAACACAAGCCTGAGTTGCTAATGCTAACGGTTAGCTTCTGCTAGCTGAGACGTGCCCAGCTCTTTTCTTCTTGTGGGCAGTCCCAAGCTGAGGTGGGTGGGGCTATTCATGCTAATTTTACCTGTGGCATAGAAGAAACTGGCTTTCTCTGACCCGAACAGTTTCGCTCAGTGATCGATCGTGTTTCAAACCTAAGTATCTCATGGTTTCCATGGTAACAGACTCCTATAGTCTGTCCAATCTAATGAACATTTTGCCTTTGTGATAAAAACGTTCTTTGCGTTTGTTTTGTGATTCTGTGAAGATTCTGTGACACTTGGGCCTCATTTTGGCTCCTCGGATGTCATCCCACCAGCTTGGATGCCTCTTGAGCGCTAAGTCGAGCAGCTGACAGACTAAACACTGAAGTACCTGTGAGATGCTCATAGCGGCGTACCCAGACGGTGTCGTGGTGGCCCATCTTTGAACTGCTCTCTAACCTTGTTGTTATGCAGTGTTTAAAGGCGTAACGTTGCCTTTTTCCTCATGAGGGATAATGAAGACGATCTGCTGGTTTGGCTCGTCTTTTATTTCAGCGTCCATACTCTCTCACTAGAAGCAAATTATGTGCCACAGTTGCCAGAACGACGCTGTCCAGCAGTGTGTAATAACGGGCCTGGAGGAAGGGATTTATAAGACACTGGTGATTTCCCGTCGGCAGACCTACAGCAAAGCCTGGGGATGGAGGCACTGAGCTTCACAGAGAATGTGGCTTTTGTGTAACTAATGTAGAAAATACCAGAATAAACAAGCTGGTTTGTTTCTGCATGAATTCATTTCACAGGAACCTTTCCTGCTTTGTTGTTTTAGAGTTTGAGTGGAGCTTCAGTCAGGACCTGTCCTCCATCCTGGTGAAACAGGAGGAGCCCGACGTGGCTCAGAGACTAGATCCTCCTCCTCTGGACAGCCCAAGTCTCGTATTAAGCCCCGCCCCTCCTCACAGAGGGTTACCATGGAAACACACGGTGAGCATCCATCAGGACTTTGTCAGCGTCTAAAGATGACAGCGGTGATCTATCGTGTGTTTGACGTTGTTGTAGGAGCGCCACGAGGATGACGTGAAGCCAGTCGCCATAAAGGATGAACCCGGAGAGATCGGACAGTACCTCAGTCTGCCCAGCGGTACGCACACACACACACACACACACGCTCACACACACGCAAACGCTCACACACACGCTCACACACACGCTCACACACACGCACACGCTCACACACACGCACACGCTCACACACACACACACGCTCACACACACGCACACACGCTCACACACACGCACACACGCTCACACACACACGCTCACACACACGCACACACGCTCACACACACACGCTCACACACACACGCACACACACACGCACACACGCTCACACACACGCACACGCTCACACACACACACTCACACACACGCACACACACGCTCACACACACGCACACACACGCACACACACGCTCACACACACACGCACACACACACTCACACACACACGCACACGCTCACACGCACGCGCGCGCACACACACACGCTCACGCACACGCTCACACACACGCACACGCTCACACACACACACGCACGCTCACGCACACGCTCACACACACACACACACACAAAGGCACACACGCATACACACACACACACACACACACACACACACACTCTCTCTCACACACACACACACGGACACACACACTCGGACACACCTACACACACGGACACACATGCACACACACACACACGGACACACATGCACACACACACACACACACACACCTACACACACACACACACACACGGACACACCTACACACACACACCTACTCACATGCACGCGCACACACTTGCACACACACAAACACACGCACCTACTCACACACACAAACACACACACATGCACCCCCACACATACACACACACAAACACACATGCACACACCTACACACATGCACACACACACACACACACACAAACGAACACGAACTTACACACATGCACACACCTACACACATGTACCCCCCCCCCCCCACACACACACACACATGTTGCAGAAATAACCTTTTTCTTGTCACTTACTTTGAAGTTTTGCTCATTTCTCTCATACAGAAAACTTTATTTAAATCGGTTAAATGACAAATCAGCCCCTTGATACGCCACACCTGTGAGGTGGAATGGATTATCTTGGTAAAGGAAACGTGCTCACTAACACACATGTAGACAAAGTTTCACATTTGAGTTCGGCTCATGAAAACTGGGAGCAAAATCAAAAGTGTTGCGTTTATATTTTTGTTTAGTGTAGGATTGAAAGTCTGTAAACAACAGAAACACCGTCAGGCTCGTTCCTCTCTTCCGTTTGAGAAACTGTGATTCATCCTTTTCCCGCAGGAGCCCTCATTCAGTCCTTTGCTTCCCTTTCAGACGACGCTCTCCAGCTCCCGCCCACCCCTCCAAGCAGTAACCATGGCGACAGTGACGGCTCACTCCCACCCTCCTCCCCGCTCCTCCCTTTGCCACCCTCTTCCCCCCAACCACAACAGAGGCCGGGAGGTCGTGGCTCTTCCTCCTCCTCCTCCTCCTCGTCAGCCATCTCCTCCTCACCGCTCCTCACTGCTCCACACGTGAGTTTGACAGCTTCCTCTCCCAGGATCCCAACTCGGGGGTGTTAATAATCAGACGTGTGGTCTGAATTTGATTCCATCTTTGGGCTGCTGCCAGAATCAAATCAGCTCAATAAGAGTCAGAAAACTCGCTGATCAAACGAGAACATGTCTGACCTCACCCAGCAGAAGCTTTTCATCCGATAACGACACGTCACCATTCCGATTTACCCGTTTAGTTCCTGTTTTAGGACGGGACGAACCCTGGCTGGGGTTCGGTAAACATTCCCCGTTTGGGAATCTGAATCAGCTGCTAACATGTTGGGGATTTTCTAAAAACCTGGAAAATGACCGAACTGAAAGGAACTGTTTGTGCAGAAGCTGCAGGGTTCTGGGCCCTTGATGCTGACGGAGGAGGAGAAGAGGACCCTGGTTGCCGAGGGTTACCCCGTGCCCAACAAACTTCCCCTGACTAAGAGTGAGGAGAAGGCACTGAAGAGAGTCCGGCGGAAAATTAAAAACAAGGTTTGTTGCATTCATCCTCGCAGGTCTTTCGAATACATCCTTCCTGCAGCAACCACTTTTCCTTTTTCTTTCAGATTTCAGCTCAAGAGAGCCGGAGGAAGAAGAAGGAATATGTGGAATGTCTGGAAAAGAAGTGAGGAAAAACTCATCTTTGTTTTTCCGTTCCTGCTGCAGTTTTCTCTCCCTGGCCTTGGCTGCTTCTTCTTCCTCTTTTGTTCAGGAAAAAGTTAAAAAATTCAGCTAAATGAAGCTGAACGTTGATGAAAGCTTCCTTTTGCTCCGATTCCGGCCATTCCTAATGATGGCGCTCCTCCAGTAACCTGCTCCGCACATGGCCCAGATTCACCCCATTTCCTCACATAGAAAGTAACAAAAGATGAAAATGTGGGTTTGCTTTTGCTCCGCTTTCATCACAATAAGAAACAGCATTAAGATCCCTGAACAGTTCACACATATGCTGGAAAAATATCCCATTAATCCCGACGGAATACCAGGAAACACAAATGATTCCTATTGATGTTTATTTTTACTGATTCCCCGGATTTTTGGGCCGATGCTTAGCAGAGCCGTGTGTGAATGAGTCACGTTAAAACCAAACCCGGCTGGGGATGAGGAGGATTACGGCTGGAAGAGTTAGAGATGAGCAGTTTATTAGGCTGATAACTCCGATTAGTGGGAGATTAGAGCAGGTGATGAAAGGGAGTGAGTCATCCTTCTGTGTGTGTGTGTGTGTGTGTGTGTGTGTGTGTGTGTGTGTGTGTGTGTGTGTGTGTGTGTGTGTGTGTGTTACGTAGAGCAGCATCCCCACAGCATTAATGTGTGTGTGTGTGTGTGTGTGTGTGTGTGTGTGTGTGTGTGTGTGTGTGTGTGTGTGTGTGTGTGTGTGTGTGTGTGTGTGTGTGTGTGTGTGTGTGTGTGTGTGTGTGTGTGTGTGTGTGTGTGTGTGTGTGTGTGTGTGTGTGTCATCAGGGTGGAGGGCTACACGTCAGAAAACGGCGACCTGTGGAGAAAAGTAGAAAACCTGGAGACCGCCAACAGGTGAGCTTCACTCCTTCAGAGGCACGAAACAAAGCCTGGATCATCATCAGAGGATCTGAAGTTGATCTGGGCAAAGCTCTCTCTCACACACACACACACACACTCTCTCAGCTGCTGCCTCCTGTTATTATAGCCACATGGAAACCAGCCCGACTGGCTGCTTTTAGCTTTGGGTGGGGGGCAGAGGGTCCATCTCCGTCTGTCTGTGGCCGCCCAAGTCTGTCATTAAGGTAACAGTAGCTTTCATCATCACCCACCCACCCCCACCCACTTCCCACTAACACACACTGATGAATGTGTTTAACCACCACACAGCGGGAACAATGACTCGGCACAAAGAGGGGGGACATGAGTCAGCACCATGGTCAGCATGCTCATTCGTTAGAGCCCACCGTCCTAAAACGAGCTCAGATGCTAGCGGTCGTTTGGCTTTTCCTGCTAAATGTCAAATCTGAGTTTATTTAGTGTCTCTAATTTAAAAAAAATAGGATTTTAATCAGAAAAAAACACAATCTGGCTAACTTAAAGGAAACCGAAGTAAAGCTAAAACTGGGAAGTAGGTTTGTATGTAAAATGAATAATTAATCAGTTTTACTCTATAGGATTGATAGGCTAACGGCTCGTCTGTGCAGCCACCTTAACATGGCTTCACTGTTAATGCAAATGTTAGAAACCCTTACATTTGCGTTTCTGACAGGTTATTTTAGTTTTATACTGAAAAATGTTTAACATCTGTGTGACGGCTTGTAATAAAGGACAATCATACAGATGTTGTTTTAAACCGATTAATTAGCATCGTTTCCACATTACGGGGTCATTTCAGCAGAAATATTAAAGAGCAAGTCACCCCCAAATCTACGTTTTTGCTGATAAACTGTATAAATGAGTGTCTAATGGTGCTGTGGACATGTGTAATCATAATTTTAACATGTTAGTGCATCTTATTTAAAATATAAATATTCAGCCCAAAACTGCCAGTGTGGCGCCCTCTTCAGGTTAAAACTCTGCACTACATTTGTGTTTGAATCCGCCTTCACTTTTGGCTAAGCGGTGATATGCGGTGTTTGCTGGTACAGCGTGACGCTCCACCGCTGTGGGGTATTAAAGCAGCCGAGTCTCGGCCATGCCTTCAGCTGGCTCGCCCTGGTGGCCTCGGGGAAACTCACGAGCCAATGAGAAACGATGCACCTTCCACCATTCCCTCTCCTTCCTCTGGTGAAGGAGGTGCAGAGAAATCTTCCAGACTAGGAAACTTGCTGCTATTATTATATATACTGTCACCTCCGCAGCACCACCCTCTCAGTCCCCCAGGCAACACCTCCTTCTGGCATATTTTTCAAATGTGGGTGGAGTTTAACGCTAATGGGGGTGACTTGCTCTTTAAGAAATCCCTGCTAGCCTTCCACCTGGATGCACCAAAAGCACCAACACTACGTCTCCTGCTGCTGGGGGTGGGGTCATACTTATATTTGTAATTTTCTCATGGAGTTTTGAACGGTAAAGCCATGTTCTGTGTTCTTGAGCCAGTATGTGCTAAAATGACCCTTTACAGGGTTATGAAACCCCACCCCGTCTGCAGTCAGAAAATCACACTTGCAACTTCAGAGTGCCGGTCAGGTTCCTGTTGGACTTGGTAAAGTGGAGCTGACAAACCTGGAACTGATGAAGGCTGAGGAGACATCTCAGCTGTTAGATGAAGGTGTTAAAGACAAACGCACAGCAAGAGGAAGTTTCACGTTTGGTTTTTACTAAACGGACTCTAGGGGGTGCCAAAAGCTAGCAAAAACTGCGTAGTCGCCCTTTAACAAAATAATATCTATAAAAAGTATCAGAAATCCACTTTGATCTGGACTCCACTCAGACTAGCTGTTAGCTCATCAGTCCTGAAGGACATGAACTCTATTTCTCCAAACAGAGGCTGTTCAGACAGCTATCTACAGGTGCGGTTCGGGTTACCTGTGGCTGTAAAAAGGAAACACATGAATCTGTGGGGCTGTGTGTATTTTCATCAGCTGAGGGTCGATGCTGAGCGTCATCCCAGCTCAGGGTCCTATCACAGGCGTCGTGTGGAAACATGAAACACTTCTGGGTTCTCTTAAATTCTCCACGAGTATCTGAGCCAGTGGCGCACCAGTTCATGGTCTGGGTTTGTTTCCTTCTGAACGTCCCAGACTTTTTCAGGAGCGGGTTTAAGTGGCTCTCTGTTTCCACCTAGTGGTGAGAGCTTGACCTCACCGCCACTGGCAGCTCATACCATCAGAGCCCTGCTCTCCAGACCCAGCAGACCTGACTCCCGGTGGTTTTACTGGTATGCTCAACTTACCTCCGCTGTTCTTCAGCTGCTGTGGCCCTGGCTGGAGTTCAACCTGATAATGACAGCCCTGCTCCAGGGGGCGGGGCTATTAGGTGAAACAGCACGTTATAGCTCTGTGGTCTGATGGGTGGTTTTGTTTTAATCCTCATATTTGTGTTTTCAGGTCCCTCCTGCAGCAGCTGCAGAAGCTCCAGTCTCTGATTTCAGGAAAGGTCATCCCACGTTCTTGTAAGATGGCCTCCACTCAGACAGGAACGTGCCTCATGGTAAAACTTCACCGTTCACTGAGAAATATTTATAATGAACATTTCTGATCCTAACGGTCTCTCTGTGTTTCATGCAGGCAGAACATGAAAATAGTCACCAACACCTAGCATTAGCATTAACTTCTGATTAGAAAAGCCTGACAGATCTACGTCACACCGTCACTTAACATTCATGGACTCACCCATCGTGACTCACGACGGGGAAGGCTGTTGTTGGTTTAGTGCCCAGGAAACAGCAGAGAACTTCTCAGCTAGTAGAAGCTAACCGTTAGCATTAGCAACTCCACCACAGAGCAGAACCTCCAGGCTTGTGTTATTTGTGGAGATAAAACATCAAAGTTGCAGAGCAAACAGAGTCAGTGGTAGAGTCGTGTTGCTGTTAGCCAATCGGAGGAGAGATGTCCACATATCAGGAAGTAAGACTCCAGATCCTGCCGTCTGAAGCTCCTTTCTCCTCTTGAAACAGGCGCGTTTGAGCTTTCCCCCCAGAGAACGACTTACAAGGCTTTCCTGCTGGAGATGTCATGAAAATAGGAGTGAACTTGACCTTTGACCTGCACCCGTTTGATCTTATTTACTCTTTTATTAGAGAACCATCTCCTCAGACCTTTGTTATTCTTCTCTCTATGCAGATGATGGCCTTGTGTTTCGTCCTGGTGTTGGGATCCTTCTCGCCCTGTCTCCCTCCTCTGTCTTTTCTGTCCCACTCCTCGTCTTTGTCCTCCTCTTCCTCTGAGTCCCCACCTTCCTCTCATCCTACGCCGTCGGCGGACCTCTACACAACCAGTCAGGGTAGGTATAGAAACACGTTAGATTAGAGCCGTTTGTCTTTCCTAAAAATTCACTCGGCTCTAAACTCTCACTGGTCTGAAACCAGACCGGAAATGTTGTCGTCGTTTAATCACAGCTGGCCTCTGCCAGCAGCCGTGGTCTGACCCTCTGTGACCGCCTACCACAAAATGTTGTCTGAAGCCGCCTGGCATCCAGAAGACAATGTCTGTCAGGACAGAAGCGAAGCAGCCATGTTGAACCTCACTGATCTGTGTTGCAGTCCGCTCCCGCAGCCTGCTCTTCTATGACGAGCAGCCGCTGGAGGAGAGTTTGGTGCCGTCAGACGGGGGAAGGCTACAGTCAGAGAGCCGCTCTCACGTCCACACGCGACGGCACACCGCCAACGTCCTCAGCAACCAGACATCCGGGTCCAAACTAGACCAAAGGTACAGACGAACTCCTCTGATGCCCCGATCTGTGTCTGCAGGCTCCAACCAGCTGCTCTTCTTCTCTCCTCAGAGAAAAAAAACCAGGTGGCGTCTCGGAGGTTTTCTGACCCGCGGCACTTCACTACAACAGCTCCAAAACGCTCCAGATCTCACCACCTCCACGTGTCTTACATCTATCTGCAGCTCTTCAGATCCTCCAAACCTCCTCAACCGGATTTAAGACAAACCCACTTTTATGCACTAAAATCTCAATTTTACCTTCATAATTGGTTCACACATACATTAAAACATGTCATTTTATCCTGAAACAACTTACAGCTGCTTTATGTTTCTAGAATAATCGTTTATTTTCTACAGGAAACTCCAAAAAGTCACCATTTTAAATGATCTAGTTCTAATTTGACCAAGGGGTCATCAGGGGTTAGTGCTTTAGCAAAAGTAGGAAAGAAGACCCCAACAAAAGAGAAGCAACAAATCCCACTTTATGACTTTATGAGTAACAAACTATTTCCTGCTTTATAAAAAAAAACAAAGATCTCATGAAATTATTCATGTTTAAAAACGTCTGAGAGAGAATACGCTCACCGGAGACGACAGAACCGGTTAATCTGGTCAGGACATCAGGTTTGAACCGCTTTATTTTGAAAATCTATTGTTTGGTTTTAATTTCCCAAAAACACTGAAGGTTAAAAACATAACAAAGTATTTTTGTAATTAAACCTGTATAATGTAAGCAGATTTTAATTTATACCAACAACAAAAAACTAGATCTTGTTTTTATTTCATCTTCGTTTCATTTTTTCTAAATATAAAAAAACATTTCTTTTAATATATTCTGAGAATTAAAAAGAGCATATTTATTTTATGCAAATAAAAAAGAGAGAGAGCGCAGGGACTCATGTTGTTTTGGTTTGAGGATGTGAAGTTTATGGAGACACCCCCCCCCCCCCCCCCCCCCGGTTCTGTCTCTAACCGTCACGCGGTGTCGACGTCTTACTTCTGTCGCGATTTTAAGGATTCTTTTTTTTACAATTAAATCTCAAAAACAAACATTTTCTCAAAAACAAACATTTATTTTTAAACCACCCAAATCTTTTTAAAAGACATAAAAATGGACTTGTCGGCGACAAAATTCAACACGGGTGTGATCAGCTGTGCGTGTGCGGCGGTGTGTGTTGTATTTATTCATTGTTTGTAGAAAGTGTGTAAATATATGAATGGAGCAGATCCTGGAAAACAACACCACTAGTTTCTTTATTTTTTTGTTTTCTCATTCGTTACGAACAATCCCCCCTTTCAAAATAGAAAGCGTTCTTTCAAAATAAAAGCAACATGTTCTGCTGTTTTAGGAACCATTCTGAGTTTTCTGCTTTTATTGTTCATGTCTGAGTTTGTAAACCACCACAAAGGAAATCACACTTGTATATAAGCGATGACAACTTCCTGTGCAGTTGTAAATAAACAAGGGCCTGTTTTTTTTTTTAATAAGGTGCCATAATCCCAGATTTTAACCTGTGGAATGTCCGGTGGGAAGGGAAAAAATGGCGGTGGGGATTAAAAACAAGAAAATATTAAAAACAAAAGGCCTGGGGGGAGTTGTCCCACTTAAGACAACACAGCAGCTGCACACAGTTTAAACCTGTCCTAAAAGTCCTGGAGGTGCTTGATTACTCCCACCCGTCCGAGAATATATGAATGTCCCAAGTGAGTAATCAAGCGCTTCCAGAAGCGATGTTTGAAATGTGTTTGGATGCGTTGTTGTCTCTGTTTTTGTTGTATAGCGTACTGCATGTTCCTCCATATCCAACTATGTTACTGTAGTGTAGTCAGTAGAGTAGAAACCAGCAAAATAATAAAAACTGCATCAGCAGCGCCGTGTCCGTGTCTTTTATCCCTCCTGCCGGAGCTGTCTCAGCTGAAGTGTTTGTGGATGATCTGTTTTCTGAGCTCTTCTGCTTCGCTGTCCCGGTCCTCTGGTTTCTGGTCCAGGATTTTGGGCTGCTCAAGAGGCTCCGTCCTCTCCAGAGTCCAGGCGTCCAGTCCAGACTGAAGAGAGATGTTGTGGAGAACACAGCAGGCCAGGAGGATGGACGAGCTCTTCTCTGGAGAATACTGCACAAATAGGATGTGTCACATGTCACACGGAGCCTTTAAGAACACCAAAACAACTTATTAATGAGATGGAACAGTTAAAACAACCTGTAGGTAACCCTTTGTGCCGTCTAAACACCTGAATCTGGTCTGGATGGCTCTAAACGTTCTGTCCACGATCTCATGCGTGGCCACATGAGCCAGGTTATACTGAAACTCTGCGGGGGACTCGGGACGCTCCACCGGGGTCATCAGCCACTTCCTTAAAGGGTAACGCCCATCACCTTAAAAACAACGGAAACGTCTCAACTCGAATCCTCAAACACCGACCCGGTGATGAGACCATGTCTCACCCAGCAGCCAGCCTTCCTTGTTGTCCTGCAGATGTTTGTGGACAGCAGACCTTTCTAAAACTATGGTGTCCTCGAGTCCGCCCGGCCAGTGCGTTTCTGTGCTGAGTAACAAACCCCGCGCATCGCAGACCAGCTGACAGGCCACCGAGTGAAACCCCTTCTTGTTCACGTATGTGGAGTCTTCGCTGTTCGGAGCTTTGATGGCAACCTGGAGACGAAGAGAATGCATCATCAAAACTCATAAGGTGCTACAAATGGTAATGTGATCCAATCAGCTGACCTGAACACAGTCCAGAACCCCGAGAACTCCCGGAAATCCAGCCACTCTCTCAAACTCCTCGAAGGACGGCTCTCTGGGAGGAAAATCTCAGCTTTGAAAGTTTTGCTTGTGATTTTCGGCACATTTTGACTCTGCAAAGCAGCAGAACATCAGGTTGTACCTGTTGAAGGTGATGAACTGAGGGGCCTTCTCCACCAAGGCTCTGGTCACGTTGGACACACACCTGGACATGGACGCCTGGCTGATCCCTATCGTGTCTCCCATAGACGTCTGGAATGACCCGGATGTGTAAAAACCCAACGCAGCCAAGACCTGAACCTCAGGACTGATGGCCCTGGACCGCTGGGTTCGTCTGCACAGAGCCTGGCATAAACACAGATTAAAGTACAACAACCACTGCAGGCAGCTGTCATGAAAACACGATTGAAGGTTAAAAAAGCACACACCTCTCTGAGTAAATCCACCAGATACAAGATGAAATCTCTTGGAAAGCCAAAGTTGGTGAGGAGGAAGTTATCTGAGACGGAGTCCAGGTCGAAGCGGTCCAGGATCTTGCTGCCTCGACCGTGTAAGAGGAGATCACAGTCCAAGATGGCTATAGGGATGGCCATGCTGCGGGGAATACAGACTGCCAACAATAAACGCTTGCTCCTTTTGTAGTAAAGCAGCCTGGAGTAGTCAGTGGGACCCTAGTCGCAGAAACACAGAGAAAGGACAAAAAAATAAAACCAAAAGCAGTAAAATGACAACAAGTAAACAATGTGGCAACTAAAAAACACAAAAGGACCAAAAGTCACAACAAAAAGAGAAAATATCAAATGAAATCACAACAAGTTCAACCGTTTAAAAAGAGACAACTTCACCTAAATGGCCAAAGACCTGCATGAAGTGACTGGTTTATTCCAACCTGTTCCTGTTTCTACAGCCTTGTTCTCTAAAGTACAAGCGTTTTAACGCATCTACTACAAAACCTGTTAATCAGTGTTAAATAGGACATAAATAGTGAACTAGTTCCGAATATTTACGCTAATATACGCTTACCTATTCAGTAGTTGAATATTTATACTTTTAAAATTAAATAGTGGTCTTTAAGCAGGAAAACGTGTTTTGAACCTCAAACCCAACTACAAACAAAAAAGCTAACTAGCTTTTATGCTATTTTTCGTTAGTTTTGTCTACATTTAGCAAGTAAAATTCTAGCGCATAATTCTTCTGACATGTAAACCCTAAGGACTTCATATTTAACGCATCATTTTTGCATTTACACTAACGAGCACGCGTTTACCTTCAGATTAGCAGCATTTCTCAACCAAAACAAGCCACAAAAACACATCCTAAAACATTTATCGCAGATTCCATACAAGTCAAATATTTTTATTCCGTAAAGATTATTTCTCGCAAATTAAAAGCAATATTCCTTTAATTTCTTAAATTATTTAAAGAAAACAATTTGTCTTATTTTTTTCCAATGACAAAAGACAGAACCATGTATGACGAAAGTGCAAGTGAGAATCCGATGCTACACAAACACGTCGACATGGGGAAGGTAAACAGAAAAGTAGCACAGCTGCTGACGTTATGTTTTGTGGAGTACAAATTAGCGTGTAAATCTTTGTAGAACCCCCGCTGCTTGTCCTCTTTATCACATCTTTTTGTATTTTATAAAAGATTCGCTGCTGAGGAAACAACTGATGTAAGTTTTGATGCTTTTAAATGTTCGTTTTTTAGCTAGTCGGCTACTAGCTTGTAGCTTCCTGCTAGTGGAGCAATGAGTCATTCTTCAGCCCATCTGCAGATGTAAACAAGCAGTAATTGTTCTAGAAAAGTCCTTATATTTAATAGCCGATGTAGTGACACTAATAATACGTCTGTCGGTGTTTTGTAATTATAAGTGACCTCTACTTTAAAATCATAAGCTAGGAGGCCTCGTTTTAAGTTGTGTAAGAATAAAAACACCATAAACAAGTTTTTTTTCAGGTCATATTTAGGTTGTTTTCCATTCATCCATCCATTTTCATCCGCTTATCCGGAGTCGGGTCATGGGGGCAGCAGCCTAAGGCAAGAGGCCCAGACTTCCCTCTCCCCAGCCACTTGGGCCAGCTCCTCCGGGGGAATCCCAATGCATTCCCTAGCCAGGTGAGAGACAGTCCCTCCACCGTGTCCTGGGTCTACCTTTAGGTCTCCTCCCGGTTGGACATGCCCAGAAAACCTCACCAGGGAGGCGTCCAGGAGGCATCCTGACTAGAAACCCGAGCCACCTCAAGTGGCTCCCCTCGATGTGGAGGAGCAACGGGTCTACTCCGAGCCCCTCCCGAATGACCGAGCTTCTCATCCTATCTCTAAGGGAGAGCCCAGCCACTCTTCGGAGAAAACTCATTTCGGCTGCGATCTCGTTCTTTCGGTCACTACCCAAAGCTCATGACCATAGGTGAGGGTAGGAACGTAGATCGACCGGTAAATCGAGAGCTTCACATTCTGACTCAGCCCTCTCTTCACCACGATAGACCGGTACAACGCCTGCATCACTGCAGATGCAGCACCAATCCGCCTATCGATCCCATGCTCCCGTTTTCCCTCACTCGTGAACAAGACCCCGAGATACTTAAACTCCTCCACTTGGGGCAGAACCCCGCCCTCGACTACCACCCGTCACACACCGCACCTGACCCCTTTGGCCCCTCCCACGAGTGGTGAGCCCATGGGAAGGGGGACCCACGTTTCCTCTAGGGGCTGTGCCCGGCCGGGCTCTATGGGTGAAAGCCCGGCCACCAGGCGCTCGCCAACTTGCCCCACCTCCAGGCCTGGCTCCAGAGGGGGGCCCCGGTGACCCACGTCTGGGCGAGGGAACATGGTTTCCATTTATATAATTCATCATAAGGGGTCTTGGGGCTGCTCTTTGTCTGATCCCTCACCTAGGACCTGTTTGCCATGGGTGACCCTACCAGAGGCAGAAAGCCTCAGGCAACTTAGCTCCTAGGATCATTGAGACACTCAAACCCCTCCACCACGGTAAGGTGGCAGACCCGGGAGAGGCTTGGTTGTTTTCTTGACACTTTAGTTTATTATTTTAATACTAAATGGCAAAGAAAAGAATCTAATGAAAACAGAAGGTATGGTTCATGTTTAGCTTTGACGTTTGCTGTTATTGGAGATATTTAAACAGTAAACTCCTCTTATTTCAACCATTTTTGTCCAGTTGGGTTCTATGTTTGGCATACATGTAAGTACACGACGACCATCAAGTCCTTTTATGTGTTCTGTGTCATGATTTGCAGGTTTGTGACAACATGGACGGTGACCTGAGTCCACAGGATAAAAAAGACTTGGACAAATTCATCAAGTTCTTTGCGTTAAAGGTTGAAAACTTGCTGTAACTCTTGTGTGATTTGACGAGATGGACGTGTGTGCTTTCTCCTGGATAAACTCTCTCTGTGCATTTGCAGACTGTCCAGGTGATAGTCCAAGCCCGCCTTGGAGAGAAGATCTGCACTCGCTCTTCTTCATCTCCCACTGGCTCTGATTGGGTAAAACGGCTCATTTCAGACACACTTTTGCTTGTTTTGTTTCAATTTAAATGCAACTCTTCACAAATTGGCATCTTATAAATGACATTTTTGTCGTGTGCTAATTTTAAACATTTCTTATAGTTTAATTTGGCCATCAAAGACATCCCAGAGGTGACCCATGAAGCCAAGAAGGCGCTGGCCGGTCAGCTTCCAGGCATCGGTCGGTCCATGTGTGTGGAGATCTCTTTGAAAACGTCAGAGGTAAAGTCTGCTCGGGTCTTTTGAAAGTGGTTTCAGCAAAAGACTTGTTCAGCACTTAGTTGTGATTTTCACTCAGAGGTTTGTGTTGTTCTGAAAAAGTCAGATTTCTGATGTTTGTCTGTTTTCATCCATCAGGGCGACTCAATGGAGTTAGAAACGTGGTGCCTGGAGATGAATGAAAAGTGGGTCACTCGTACTTGAATTTGTGGCCAGAGTTGATTGATTTTCCATTAAATGAGCAGCTTTTTGTACAAAGTCTGTCTTTAGTAATGGGACGCTGCGCAAAATAAAATTTGCTGCTTTTTTTTTTTTTGACTAACTCTGCGTTTTTGGGCTCTTTTTTTTTTTTTTTTTAGGTGCGATAAGGACATCAAGGTGTCGTACACAGTCTACAACCGTCTGTCTGTCCTCCTGAAGTCTCTGCTGGCCATCGCCAGGGTAACACCTGCCTACAAACTGTCCAGAAAGCAGGGGCATGACTACGTTATACTGTACAGGTAAACTGTGCTGCGCAGCCAGGGGAATGTAGCTGACGTAGATGTTTATCAGAATGCTGGTTTCTGTTGTAGGATCTACTTTGGAGAAGTCCAGCTGGGTGGATTAGGAGAAGGTGACTTTATCTATTCTACACGCTGTCCTAAGAAATGTGAAGTGAAATAAAAAAAAAGTGGGATTAGTTGTAAATGGAGAGTAAATCGTTTCTAAATTCTGCTGATATCTGATGTGTTTTCGTAGGTTTCCAGACGGTACGGGTCGGAGTTGTCAGCACGCCCGTTGGCACCGTCACGCTCTCGTGCGCTTACCGCACCAACCTGGCGTTCATGTCTAGCAGGTGAGCAGCGCTTTTCAACCCTTTTATTGTGATAGTTACCATTTCTAACTAGATCGCTCACTTTAGCTGCTTTAATCTCCTCTGCAGGCAGTTTGAAAAGGCTCCGATCATGGGGATCATCGTGGATCACTTTGTGGATCCTCCTGGAACGAACCAGCGGGCAGCCAACATGGGACAGCCCTGCAACTACAGGTAATCTGTGGAGAGCTGCTGGATTAAACAAAAGTTTACTGTAAAGGGAAAAATTGGGACGTGCGTGTGTATGTGTATGTGCGCAGAGCACCAGATGAAGATGAAGGCATGTTTGCAGGAGTTCAGGACTCACAGGAAGTCTGCACCACCTCCTTCTCCACCTCTCCCCCCTCTCAGGTAAAGACACTCCCCTCTCTCACTCACGGCCTCTTTCTTATCTCCGTTTTTACTCCTGTTTATCATTTTACTCTTTTCTCTCTCTCTCTCTCTTCCCCGGTTTTTCCCTTTTTATTCAATGTTATCGTGTGTTGCATGGCGTCAGTGTGTGTGTACTCTCAGTCCGTCTCCCTCTAAACTGTCCAAGCCCCTCCCCCTGGACAGTCTGCCGCTCCCAATGGCTCCTGGACTTGTAACTCACAATGTGAGTCTATACTGGCTGTTTGACTGTGTGTGTGTGTGTGTGTGTGTGTGTGTGTGTGTGTGTGTGTGTGTGTGTGTGTGTGTGTGTGTGTGTGTGTGTGTGTGTGTGTGTGTGTGTGTGTGTGTGTGTGTGTGTGTGTGTGTGTGTGTGTATAGAAGTTGGATTAGAATGTAGCTTCTGTGGTTTTGTCGTCGTGATCCTTCATATTGGAGCAGTGAATGTTCTCGGGTGTTTCTCGTGTCACACACTAACTCTGTGTGTGTGTGTGTGTGTGTAGCTCTATGCCTCCAGGCTATCCTACCAGCCTGCAGCGTTAGGAGGAGCAGCGGAGTTCTGCCATCCTGCCACCAACGCCAACCAGGTCAGATCTTTAGTGTTTCCCACCTCCTGACTCCTGCTGCAAAAGGGTTTTAAAGCACCTAAATCTAATGATTTACAACAAAAACTTACTAGATTTTCAAAACCCTTAAAGAAGACGTCTTCGTTATTGTTTATTTGAGTAAAACTTTTCTCTAAGATTTGGGTTTTTTTTGCATTAATTAGAAAAAAATTTAGTAGTTTTTAGAGACCTCTGTGATACACCGATGCCCACTATTTGAGCTTGTTGGGATAATTATAATTTTTTACTTCTGCTCGTTTATCTCAGGAAACGATTCTGAAGTGGGAATTTTAGTGCAGAAGGTTCTCCTCTAATGGTGATTTTCCTCATGCACCACAGGCTGGGAGAGAAGGAGGAGTTCTGGTTCCTGCTCAGCCTCCTCACGGCGCTGACGCCCACCTGACGGTAGAACACGCCCCCAACACGCCCAGCAGCAGGTAAGTCTGAGAAATGATCAACGTTGTCTTCAGAGAATCGAGTTTAAGGAAGCTGCGGTGGCTCCTTGTCGTAGCGGCGATGAAGACGGCCTGCTGCAGAGCGGGGAGGGGAGGGGGAGCGTGTCTCCATCTGACCCGATGGAGTCTCTCACCGCCTTCACCAGGAAGGTCGGAGCCTTTGTGAATAAACCCAGCACACAGGTGAGTGATGCCGCTAACAGGTTCTCAGGTGTTTCTCGTGTCACACACTAAGTGTGTGTGTGTGTGTGTGTGTGTGTGTGTGTGTGTATAGATAACAGCAGGAAGTCTGGACCTCCCCTTTGCTGCGTTCGCTCCTCGAGGCCTGGACTCTGAGGACAACGATCCCATGGTAACTGTCGGGTTTTTGATCCTGAATGTTTGGATCAGAACAGTAAAAGAGGTTCTGCGTGTTCAGGTCCGTCCTCCAGACTCCCCCCAGAGCCAGTCGCCCCTGCAGGCCAGCCTCCACTCTCACTGCTCCGATGGATCGGGGCAGCAGGACGACTTTGTCATGGTCGACTTTGTGAGCGTCAACTCTTCTGTTACAACAATGTTATAAAACTAGATAAAAGTTCAGTCATTTCCACTTCTCTGGTGCTCAAAAGGTTTTTGATTTGTGAGGAAACAACAGAACTTTCACAATAAGACTTAAATTTAAGCGTCTTTCCAAGCGGTTTTCAGTTTTGAATATTACTCATAAATTTAAACCGTTAATCCAGGATGTTTTGACTTATTTTTCTCACACGTTTACATATTTCTAACATCAGGAGGAAACTGCTTTGCTTTTGTAATTTCATGCAATTAATATAAACCTTTTCAACATCAGGGAGCAACTTTATGTTTTTGCAAATAATGAAAATAAATCCCAGAGGATCTTTGCCTTTTTTACATATTTTTTTCTTTGCAAAAGATCCGGAAAGTTTTCACTCATTTCTTCCTGCAGGTTTACAAATATTGCCTATTGGAACAGTTTAATCTTGCTGTGAAGGAGCGGAACACGGAAAACCCCTGTTGTCATGATTATTTCTGATCCTAAAGGGTCACTCTGAATATTTCATGCAGGCTGAACATGAAGATAGTCTCCTACACCGATCTCCTGCAGTAGCTTCTGATAGAAAGCAGACGGTGAAACTCTAGGATTAGAAAATCCTGACAGATCTATGTCACACTGTCACTTACATTCATTGGCTCACCCATCTAGACGGGGAAGGCTGTTTTTGGTTTAGAGTCCAGGAAGTAGAAGCTAACTGTTAGCACTAGCAACTCCACCACACAGCAAAACTCCTCCAGGCTTGTGTTATTTATGGAGATTAAAGGGATACTAATGCTCCCCCTAGTGTCTGTTTGTGGAAGCGAAACCGTCTCCTGTTGTGTTCATGATCTAAAACAATCTGGAACCAGACTGCAGCGTCCGGTACCAGCAGACCGACCGGCACCTGTGAAGCTGCTAGTGTGATATTCTGGCCACAGGGGGGCGATAGAGGCCAGGTGGCCTTTCATTAACCCTGTAAAGGGTCAATTTAGCCCTTTACTGGCTCAAGAGAATGATTTAAATCTGCTAATTTAAGGCTCTCCAACATCAGAGAATATCTGTATTTTTGTAGATAGATATTTAACCCCCCCTCCCCTCTGCACAGCGCCCAGCCTTCTCTAAGGACGACTTGCTGCCGATGGATCTGGGGACGTTCTACAGGGAGTTCCAGAACCCTCCACAGTTGGCCAGTCTGTCTCTGAACACCAGCTCCCAGTCCATGGCCGATGACCTGGTAGGCACCATTTCTGACATCTTTGACCCCCCCCCCCTGAGTCCTAGACCCTAAGCCTTCTCCTTCTGCAGGACTCGCTGCCGGAGAAACTGCGCGTCTACGAGAAGAACATGGACGAGTTTGACGCCTTTGTGGACATGCTGCAGTAGCGGGAACAGACTCGTGATTAAATCAGAACAAACCGGAGACATCCTCTTGTTCTATCGTGACATGTGTTCCACACACACTCACACACACACACAGCTTACAAATAGTCTTTATCACTGTAAATACTCTTTAATCACAGCAACAGGCTTTTATTTCCCGTCTGACACAAATCATGACTTGTGAATTGATCTTAGGAGTTTGTCATTTTATCACAACCATAAAATCTGAAGGATTCTTAACAAAAACTCATCAGAAGTCTCAGTAAATCAACCTGTCAGTTAACTTGAATCACACTGATGCTAGTGGTGGATGCAGCCTTCCAGAGGTTAAAGCCCTGATGGACAAACCAGCTTAGACCAGCATCAACCCATGCTGGTGTGTTCTGGTTCTGGATCTGCTTCCAGTGCTCCCAGCTGGTCTGGGACCTAAACCTTCAGGATTAGCTCATGTAAGCTGAAGGAGCCCCTCTGTGTGCAGAGCACAGCTTTAAATGATCTCATCATTCAGGTTTCTGCCTTTCTGGTCCATGACTCAGTCCAGAGGACTGGACCTGAGCAGCTGGAGGTTTGGTTCATTATGCTTTTAGATGGATTCTCTCTGCTTGTGTATATTATGTGAATTTGTAAAGGTTAAAAACAAGTAAGCTAAACATTTCCAGATGCTTTTGGACGGACAAAAGCTTTAATTTAAACAAATCTGTTGGTGTAGATGTCCTAATAAAGCATGGAGGCTCTGTTTACAGGCTTCTGTTGGGTCTGTGTGTGACTCGGAGACTTCTGTTACTCGGATTGTGTCTTTGCATTGTGCTCATGGTAACGGACGGGTGAACGGGCTTCCTGATGCTGATGATCCTAAAATGAAGTACTAGGCTTGTGCGGTATACTGGTTCTGTATTTTAATATGTTACAGGGCGACCAAACGTAGTGTTTTCCTTGGACATGTCCACTATACCGCTGTCCAGGACGCCCGGGGGTGATGAAAATATCCAGGTTCTCATTAATTATATAACAAATCTCAAACATTACTGACATATTCTGATATCCACGTTAGATGATCTCTTATTAACGTAACCCCCCTCTGCCGGAGCAGAAAGATGCTCCTGACAGTGGTTTAGTAAGAGTGTTGATAAACAGCAGCGATAATGCTGCTTCTCTGCTGCTCCAGCCCAAAACATTAAATCACACAACCAACGTGTCTCCTAAAGCAGGAGTATCCATGCAACAGCATCCATGACCTATAATAACCCCTATGGATCATTCCAATAGCTCCTGTCTTTCATCGTTCCTAACTATTATACACTCACCTAAAGGATTATCAGGAACACCACACTAACACGGTGTTTGACTCCCTTTCACCTTCAGAACTGCCTTAATTCTACATGGCGTTGATTCAACAAGGTGCTGAAAGCATCTTTAGAAATGTTGGCCCACATTGATAGGATAGCATCTTGCAGTTGAAGATTTGTGGGATGCACGTTTATGGCACGAAGCTCCATATACATATATATATATATATATATATATATAAACTTTGCAAAGCAAGAATTTGGTCTAGTTCACTAGGCTAAAACTCACTATATTCGACGGTCTCAATTAGTTAAGAGCTATGACAAAGGTGGTATTAATGCACTGGATTTGGAAACCATGATTGGGGCGTTCAGAGTCAATTTTTTTTTCTTTTTTTTTTTGCGTTCAGAGAGAGTCAACGGGCTAAAAACACCCCTCGGTCGCGCGCCAGCCTGAAACAACGTCATTTCCGCTTGGCAGTTGTTTCTTGCCGGCGCGCGCTCCAGACGCAGGGGAAACAAATTCTACCAGTTTTAGAGAAAAGGTAAATATAAGCTGACAAGTTAATGACGAAACAGCGTTTAGTTTGGCAAGTTTATGTAGCAGTTCATACGTTTTTCCATTATCCCACTTTGAAGTGAGTACATGAAAGTAACGGGCTCTCCGTGAATTGTTGTCGGGTCTCGGAGACGGCGCAGACGGAAGGAAAGGAAGCAGAAGCGGGGTTGCTGATCCGTTGTTGTGCTAAAGCTAAGGAAACAACCACAACACCTAGCTCTACCTAGCCCGTATATCACCAATGTCGGATCCATGGTGCATAGAATGGATGACCTGGAATTACAACTCGCTGGAATTCGTTATGTTCGTGCCTGATGCGTTTTGATTTTCAACGAAAACCGGGCATCACCGGGAATACCCGAAGCTAGCACGTAGCTAGCAGGCCGCACGCTGCTCCGTGGCGGCAAAGAAAGAAAACGAACTTTTACAAAGCGCCTCTCAGTATACCATACCATACCATCTTTATTTATAAAGCACATTTAAAAACGGCATGGCAGCCGACCAAAGTGCTGTACAGAATAAAAAGTAAAAACATAATATAAAACAATACACAGTAAACAATAAAATGCAAAACAAGGCAGATGATTACAGTCAATAAAAAGACACCTAATAAAAGTCAGGGATTTTAAAAGGCCTGGTTGTAAAAGTGAGCCTTCAGCAGAGTATAAAAACCACTGTTTTGTAAATTAATCATTGGTTGCATTAATGCAAACCTTAAAGACAATGTATAAAATAATTAATTATAAGACCCTGAAAAAATATTTTAAATAAATAAATAAACAAATATTTCTTTTAAAAGTGCAAAATACTAATTCAAGGTCACTTCAGTTATGTTTTACTGTCAGCAAATGGTAGGAACTGCTGAGGGCAGGGGCATAAATAACAACAATTTTGCCCATTGGTCAACCACTACAAGTTGTGTCCTCAATTACAATCTCACACACTGCGAAAATCCTCATGCCAAATAATCCAATAATAATCCAAACAAGCAATGAGGTTGGACGTATTAAACTTTCCCGGGTCTTACGAGAAAAGCGTGCATGGCAAATGTTACACTGAGCCACACTGTCTTTTTTGAACTTTAACATAAATTACTGCCACAAGGCAGACATTGCTCTTGTTCCTTGCTGCTTTGCTAGCATGCAGTGTTCTGATCACGTGGGCTTTGCTTGCTAGATTTGGGCGCTGCTGGACAAAATTTGTTAGAATGAAATTGAAAGCGCAACAGACTGCTTATATCGAAGGTTTTTGATGCAGTCTGATATAATCCAATAGTGTATTTGGGCTGATATCGGACCTATTTTCGATATTGGAATGGGGCATCCCTAGTTTTTGGTTTTCTAGTTGAGTTTTTCTAGACAAATTTGCTATTTGCTCCAATACTTTTAACTGTACAACAAATCGTTTGGTCATGGTCTGTTGTCCCTACACTATCTCAAGCACTTATTACGGGTCTTCTGAAGAAGAATCAGAACCCTACATCTTGTACTTCATATAGGCTTATTTCACTGAAAGTAAACGTTAAAATTTTGGCAACTCATCTTGAAAAAGTACTCCCTGCCATTATCTCAGATAATCAGAATGGTTTTAATAAAGACCACCACCTGTTTTTAATGTGATTAGCGTCTCTGGATTCAAGTTTTTAGGAGTCAATGTAACTTGTACTTTATCCTCTTTATATACTTCCAACTTCTTTTCTCTTATCACCCAGCTCAAATCTGTCTTCCAGAGGTGGAATTCATTACATTTGTCTCTAACTGGCCGAATCAATACGGTCAAGATGAATGTCCTGCCCCGATTGCGGTTTTTGTTTCAGTAGTTCCCACTATTTCTGATTTAAGCTTTTTTCACACAATTAGTTTAGCTGGTTTTGTTGTTCTTGTGGTGAGGGAAACATTCCAGGGTGAGGAAATCATTATAATGTAGATTGAAATTTGATGAAGGGTTTGCCTTGCCTAAATTTTGATTTAATTATTTGTCCGCTTATATTCACAAATTAACATTGGCTAGATTCCTGTGAGCTGTTGTTGTGTAAGTTAGAGAGCTTGTCTTCCACCTCCTTAGAGGTATTCGTGTCCTCTCCGTTGCCACTCAATCTGCCTCGCTTCACAACTAATCCTGAGGTACAAGCTAGTCTTAAGGTTTGGGCAAAATACAGGAATCCTTTTAAATACACTTCCCCAACCGTACACATGCCCATCACTCTAAATCATTTATTTCCTTCTTGTCTCACTGATGGTACATATGCCCAGGGTAGATGTCATGGAATTGCCACCTTTGAAGGCCTCTATAGGCATGGTGCTTGTTTCTTTTTAGTTTTTCAAACGTCTATTTTTAAGCGGCCTCTCAACTCTTCCGTGTTTTTCAGGTTCAACATTGTCTCTGCTCTCTTTCCCTCAAATCCCTCTCTTCCGAGCGTTCAAACATGGGAAGAATTATCTCTTAAATCCCCAAAAAAGTCGCTTATATCCCTGATATACAAACAACGTAAGGACGCAAACAGGAGCTTGGGAACGTGTTACGTGTAACACTTTTAGATCAACGATGGGAAGCCGCGGTGTCCAATGTTTGTTGTAGTGCATCAAGGGCTAGGTTGCAACGTATTCAGTTTAAGGTTTTATACAAAGCCCACTATTAGAAATCTTGTCCTTCTAAAAGCTATCCTCATGTGGATGTGTGAGAGATGTCAAGCCGCTCCGAGTCACATGTTCTACTCATGTCCCAAACTATGTAGCCTCTGGATCCGGTTTTCAGCTGTCCTTTCCAGAGTTCTCAGGGCTCCCAGTTAATACCGTCTCGGCTAATCCCATTCATTCTAAAATATTGGTCTTTGTGTCACTTTTAGCCAGATGCTGCATATCACTTAGTGAAAATATCCTTCAGTTTCTTTTTAATTTCAATCTTTTATGTCGTTTTTTGAATTAGACAAAATTGCTTTGCACATCTGTGGGACCCCTTTTGGGCCATTCCCATCTGTACCAGGCCGACCAGGGCCAACACACCCACTGCTGACAGCAAATTCACACCTTCCATTAGAGCAAGCCTCTGATTGGTGGGTAGAATCAGCCCACATGGGCTTAAGACAAGGATGTGTGGAATCAACCGGGCCAGGCTGGGGCCGACTGAGGCTACCCGGCCTGGGCCGACCCGGTACAGATGGGAATGGCCCATTTGTGGACCATTGTAGGTCACTGTGGGAGTTACTTAACTCATTCATTGCCATTGACGACTAAAGTCGTCAGTTGCATGTTTTTACTGTGTGGGCATCGGAACGAGCCCCCGCGCCAATGGAACAAACATCTCAGCTCTGAAGCCGATCTTCATCCATATACGTCACATGTCACATGATCAGGAAGCAGAAAATTCATGTGTTAGATAGTTTTGGGCCGTTCCTGTTTAAAAAAAAAGTGAGGCGCGAACCGAAAAAGCTTCTGCCGATCACAATTCAACAACGGATTATGAAAGAATGGATAAAGCTCAAAACACGCGGGTTCTTCCCAATGTAAGAGGTGAGTCTCTGCTTTGTTTTGGTTGTTTTGGCGTCAACATCATTCTAGCGTGCAACTTTCTGAGACTCTTAACAGTAAAAACAGCGAGAAACGCTGGCAGCGAATGAGTTAATATCCTCAGCCTTTTTTTTAGAGTAGTGTTTTGTTTTGTTGTGAACAAGCTCCCATAATACTGGTATGAAATTGAAGCCAACATGGAAGTGACAAAAATTGCAGTTCCACCCTCATCCGCTGGGGGCTGGTGTCAGAAGTGAGCAAATCCTCATTGACTCCCATGTTAAAAATACCAATTTCACAGCAGAAATAAACATCTTTACAGCCTGGTACCAAAACATGTTTTTGGTTTAAATGATCTAGTTTACACTCATGACAACTCTGAGGGGGATGAATTTTTTGTCACTCTTCCGTTTAAGTGTATTAAAAGCCTAAAATTCTGAATAATTGATGAGCATCAGACCCACGTGACCACAGAGCTAGCTCCGTGGAAAGGCCTCAGCCTGAAAACTGTTTAGCCATTTTCACTCTCTCACCTTAGACCATTAGTTGTAGCATTTGTGCGTTCTTTTTGGATATTATTTGCGCAATTGTTGGACAAAATGACTTGCTGTGGTATTAATTGCACTAATAGAGCGTCCAAGAAGTCTCCACTTTTTTGGTAAGTAAAAATATATTTATGTATTTTAGGTCACTGCTGCTTTTGCACTAGCTGAGCTTAGATTTTAACATGTACTGTTTAACCATGAATTTTAAATGTAATAGGGTAAAACCCAGTGCATTTAACATAACGCTGCATTTTTGAAAATGGGTTGAAATATAACATGTTGGTGGAGCTGGGTTCCGACTATCGGTATAGTCCCCTCCCCTCAGCTCGGTGCGGTGCCTGTCTGCTACGCATGCTGCCGGCTTGTGGAGCTCTCGGGAGACCTCTGTGTTCCACCCGGTTTTACCCAGCAGTCAGCCTGGCATATCTCTGACTAAGAAGCTCCGGTGTTGTGCACAGTTATCTGGTTGTAGCTAGGTTGCTACCTCCGTTAGCTTAGCTCCCACCTCCGCGTTAGCTTTGGTTTAGCTTGTAGCTACATAGCTTCAGTTCGATGGGTTTCGTCATTTGATCCCAGCCTTAAAGCCCCACCCTCAGCTCCACCTCTCTTCCCTTTTTTGGAATTTTCTGGGCTTGACGGAACCTGTGACACAGTCAAAATGGCGGTAGTGGCCACCTCCCATTTTGGCTTTAAAACGTGTTATTGGAGCCTCTGGGCACAAATTGTCCAGTATATATGTCGATGGTTGTGAAATAAAATAAAAATGTACATGTTAGAGGAACCACATTTCTATGTATCGTTTCTCCTAAGAACTGGAGGAGCTGGTTTCAATCTCATTGTACTTGCGTGTATTGACAATAAAATGTTTTCTATTTTATTCTAAAGCTTAATAAGGAGACCTTCTTGTAATCATTTATTACCGTGTCTGTGGCCATATTTGAAACATGTTTGTTTATGTTTGGTCATTTATGTTTGGGTTCATTTGCCTTTTAGGGACCAGACATAGTGTGAAGTGGAAGAACTGCTAACTCTGCTAATAAATAACATCTTAATCCCTGGGACTGTTCTAGCCAGACTCACAATAGCCATGTCCAGTCAGCATGGTAAACAGGCCATGTTTAGCATCAGATGATTAGTGAAATGTGCTTTCTTGTCACTTGAATAATCATTTTGTTGGTCTGTTTGTCCAGAACTCTCAAAGTAGCTCTGGAACCAAGAGAGAACCTCCAGTTTGGACCAGGAACAGCCAGAACCTTTACAGGAGGAACCAGAACTCTTCACAGAGGTCAGAGGTCATTTTCATGTGAAATCTGTGAAAATTCTTTGTTTTGTTTTCTTGTTGTTTTTGAACTCATCACATGAGAACTCACACAGGTGAAGTCTTCAGCGTGTTTGTTCTGTGGAAGGAGATTCAGCCTTGAATCCTGTTTTTGCATCTTCCAGCAGCTAAAAGAGGCATTTTGGTTTGTAAACGAGAACACTCCCCTTCAAAAACAAACACCTACGTCTAGGGACGATCCGATCACGTGATCAAAAATTAGGCCTGATAACGTGATTTTGAAAGGATCATAATTGAGAGAAATAAATTGGATTTAGCCTTTTTAAATTAATTCTGACAGAGATATTCAAATTGAATAAAAATGGCTTAGTTTTAATTTAAAAAGTTCCTCTACATCAATAATATTTGTTTCTTGTACGAAAACAACAATAACATCAAACAATTAATTTACGGCAGTCAAGGACTTAGACACCAAGTGCCGCTGTTAGCAAGCCTGCTACACAGAGCTAACGTGTCTCCTCAGGAGAGCTATAATATCTGCAGCTTTGTGGTATTTTAAACCGGACAGCAAAGGCAGAGCTACAGACACTTACATGCATACTGAGTGTTCAACATGCTGGACACAGCTCCATGATTCACTGCCTTTAAACAAGCTACTTTTGCGGTCAGCTTTTCTCTTCGGGCATCAACAAAGCAAATCACCGGTCTTCAGTAATCCCGTTTACTTCTAACAGCTTGAAATAAGAGCAACACTGCTACTTTTAAAGCCCCAGTGTGTGATATTTTTACCAGTTTACCATCAAATCCTGTGTTTCCAGTTCACAAACTTGCCCTTTTCACTAACATTTCTCACCAACATCAAATCTAAATATTCCTCTCGACTTAAAATTATACATTTTTATATACATAAACTGTGGTCGACGCTCCATGCTCATCCGCCATCTTAAAATACAGTAGCTGTTTAGGGACATACGAGCTCCACGTTACCCGTTTGGACTATGACTGTAACCTGAAAGAACCAGCAGAGGGCAGCAGTGCGCCCTGGAAGCATGGACTGCTAATTCAACCAAGAAATAGAAAAGAATAGCTACACTGTTGCTGTACTTGTTAGTTTGAATAATAAACAATTAAATCAAAAGACCTAAAATTTGCCAGTTCGTCATCATGTCCAACACAAGGAAGTTGTTCAGACCCCCGCCCGCTATTAGCTGTTCACAGCCTCAGATTAGTGTCTCTGACTCCCAAACTCACCTCAAGTTGTTCATTCGTCTTTTCCTAGTACCAGAACTCCCGACCCGGTCCCAACGTGACCGTTCCGAAGTACTTCTACTCAAGTCTCCTCTCATCCCGCAGCCTGCTGTCTCTCCCAACATGCTCCAGCACTAGTCCGCTAGCCAGTGGCTAACCAGCGTTGTTTACTTGATCTCCACAACACTCCACTAATTGCGATGTAGTTCTCCACGCATTACAGAGACGCCCCGACTCAGAGGGCTTATTCTCAAACGTTACCTTTAGACTTGGGTCTCCTTTTGCTGGTGATCCGTGGGAGTTTAGGCGCAGCATGTACAGCGTCTCCCCGGCTCTAGCCATGGCTAACTAGTAGCTCGTTACACCCATCTCCATCACGCCAGCCGTGAGCCACGATCAGCTGGTGGATAAGTCAGCATTGTTTAGTTGATATCCATCGTGTCCCCGGCTCACCAACAGTCCTTCACCAGCCGTGGCTAACGAGCAGCCAGTGATCGCTCCATATCCATATAAGCTGGTAGCAGCAGCCAGTTTGTTTACATTGAGGCACCGTGATCCACGTGAAACGGATGTTGTGGGAAATTATGTTCCTCTGAAATATTCTGTTTCCCTTAGGAAGTCAAGAGCAAATATTTCCAAATCCACAGAACTTATTGTCCATTATGAGGACTAAACGACCCCAAATAAAAGATGTTAAACTGAGTGAGATTACATCTTTTTACATAACTTTCAAAAGTGATAAATAAGCTTGCTGCAAAAGAGTGAACAAGTGTTTTTATTGTTTATTGTTTTTAGGAGGAAATGTAGATAAAAATCATATTATTACATTACATTACATCATTTTCCCGTAAAAGTTTATCACAAATGTTGTGAAAATAGCCTGAAGTGCGATCTCCCGACACGGGGTGACAGAATATTTCAGGGGAACACAATTTCTCACAACACCTGACCTCCCGGCTGACGTCACCCCTCCTCCGTGTGTGAATGGTGACATCTTCAAGATCTAACAGAACTAGCTTGCTTCCTTCAGGACTGGTAGCCTGATAAAACAGTCATAATTAAAAATGTCTTTTTAAAGAGGTCAAGTAGCTTGTTTTAAGCTTTGTGTGTGTTAGGCTACACAGGTTGGAAATTGCTTATACAGTCAAACTCATGAGTGAGCCACTGTAGCTGCAATACTTTCTCTGAACTGCATGGCGCTAAAGAGTCACATTTTTTTCATCGCAATTTCAGTGGATTTCACACATGAGGATTTTAAGTATATAGTCACAATATAAACAAGTTTTTAATCGGCGTACTTCCTAAAAAAATGAAAGTAGAACTTAAAGGACAAATTGGATGCATTTTTTTTCTTGTTTGAATGCTTTGCTAAAAGTTATTTATTTTTTCTTATTAATTTAATGCTTTTCTGAAAAGTATCAGATCGGGACTCTGTATCGGCAGATACTCAACATAAAATGACTCAGAATCAGATCAGGAGCAAAAAAACATGATCGAAACATCCCTACTTGCGTCTTCTTATTTGCTCCTGAATTGTTATTTCACACCCGGTCTCAGTCGATATTTCAAAATAAGATAGTCATAACTTTAAAATAAGAATGATCATTTGGATTTCTTTAAAAAATGTGTAAAAAAATATAATTTTAAAAATTTTGTAATAATACTGTTGGTGGAAATCTCACATATTGAACCCATAAGGAGGGGTTCATTAGCGTTGTGTTGCAGAGGGACAGAGGAAGCTCCGTGACAGGTGTGATGAGCTGTCACGGAGCTGCAGAGTAAACAGTCAGACAGAATTCATGTCGGAAGTTTAGATGTTGGAGCAATGTGCGACAAATAGTTACCTCTCTGTAGTTTAGTGGTTTGTTTATGTATGAAGGAGGATGAGAAGGGTGAATGTCCAGCAGACAGATCAGCTGTTTAGCTGGAAGACGAGAAAAGGAAACTCGCAGCCGGAGTCTGACGCCAAAGCGAGGGTTTTGAAAACGATCCTCTTTGAGGAAGATGAACTAGGTTATGAGCTGACACTAAAAAGAAGTTAACAGCGGTGCTTTTTTAAAATCTTGTCAGCTTTGATTTGGTTAGCGGTCTGCTTAGTGACGTACGCTTTCAGGCGGTGTGCGCATCACGTAGTGTGACCTGCTGGAGCGACCTCACTGAAGTCTTTCATCATACAGTGTGCCACGGACCAGCCTGTGTGACGGCCAAAATTTGCAGTGTGATCCCGGCATTATGGACGTATTCTGTAGACTTTTACCTTGACAGATGTCCAGCAGCAGAAAGTATGTATTTTGATGCCCATTCTGATTGGTTGGTGAAATGCTAGGTAACCCCCACTAAGGTGTTTTTGTAGCCCAACCCAAAACACCACAGCTCGTGCGATCCTGCTCTCTTTTTGTCACTAGTTTTATCAACATTTAAATTGTGATTGAAATGTTTAGGGGTGTCAGATAATCGCGTTAATTGTGAAAATTGTGCCTAATTTCATCCATAATTACTGCATCTAATTTTTAATCTATAACTTTACTGTTTCTGCAGGCTGGCGTCTGCTGGATTAGGAAGGACCGATGTAGTGAGTTGTTTCATTTTTATTTTCTGATTATTTGACATTGATAAAAGAACACAGCAAAGCTCCCCCTGCTGGTCAAAAGTGGAGGCTGCAGCAGAACATGGGATTTGTCTCAAAACCAGCAGAATGTTAACTGAATTGTTGGAATTGAATTGTTCATTTATAAAGCCCTCTCCCTGTCTAGAAGGTGCTGCACAAAAAGCAAATACACAAAAAAACAATGTAAAAGAAAACATTATTAAGAATTAAAAGCAATAGGACCAAAGAGCAATCAGAAAAACACCAAAAACATTAATAAAACGTTCACTCATCTAAAATAAAGCATAAGTCTAACTTACACTGCCCACTTTCTTTAAATCCTATAAACTTTATTTCACTTCTCAGATATCACTACATGATTTACTTAACTTTAGTTTTTTATTGTAACGACAGAGGATTTATACAGGAAGATCGTAAAGATTAACAAAGCTGCCCAAATCTTCACATCCCACTATATGACTGCAAAAGCACAATCAGCCCTAGACTTGCATTTTGACCGAGGAACCACAAACAGGTGTTGGGTATTTTTATATCCCTAAAATAAACCAAGGTCAGTAAGGTTTTCTACGCTGAATGCAGCGGAGAGTAGAGGCCGAGGGCCCCCGCCCAATCTACTCTGGCCTCTCTCCTCTGACCACAGCGGTTTTATTGAGAGAGAAGAAAAAATGAACAAAGAACAATTAATCACTGTCCTACACTAGCCAATAACAGCATTGCTTCTAGGCTAAGGCGGGACATTTCAAAAAGGAAGCCTTAATTTATGGAGTTGCCTGTTGACAGCCAAAAGCTGCTGAGTCACTCAGTAGCTATGGATTCCTGTTGCTGGGCAGATTATTCCACCAAGCCCCACAGAGACAAACTACATGGCTTATCAGCATACCAGAGCTTGACTGAAATAAAAAAGCCCTGAGGCTTACTCCACAACATGATTGCTTAAAAAGGAACATTTAAAACAGTAAAATACATTAAAAACCATAACAGGTCACTCCTAACCGAGTGTAGAGTTCTTGCTGGGACGTAATGGGTCACAAGTGAGGCTAAATATGGTGGCGCTGATCCTGACAGTTAAAAACAAAGACTCTTTTGGATTTTGAACAGAATGCAACATTTCACTGGTAACCAGGAAGGCAGCTAGGAGTAACATGCTCCCATTTATGTGCTCTATAGATGAACCTGACAGCAGCATTTTGGACCAGCTACAGCTGTAACCGTGAGGACTGACTCAAGCTGGCATACAAGGAATTACAAGAGTCCAATCTACACATGATAAAAATGTAGCTTGCTATTTCCAGCTCCTGTTTTGTGAGGATCGGCTTGATCTTGGCTGAGGATTTTAAGTAAGTAAATTTTATTTTTATAGCACTTATCACAGACATAGAATCACAAAGTGCTTCACATAGATCAAAATAAAACAAAGTCATAAAATCATAAATAGATTAACATCATAAAATCAAAATGCTCTCAAAACAGAATTAGATTAACATCAGAAAAAATAGTCATAAAATTATAAATTTTCATAAACGGATGAAAGATAAAAAATTTGAGTTAAAAATCTGGAAATAAAAGGTTAAGTTTAAAGCAGCTTTAAATAAAAGGGTCTTTAGCTGTTTTTTAAAAGTGTCCAGACTGTCAATGCTGCGTAAGGATAAAGGAAAATCATTCCAGAGTCGGGGTGCAACAGTCTGGAAGGAGCGATCACCTCGACTTTTTTATCTGGTCTTTGGAACTTCTAGAAGGTTCTGGTGGGTGGACCTGAGGGCTCGGGTTGGAGCATAAGGCTTTAACATATCAGTAATATAGGGAGGAGCTTGACCATGTAGAGCATTGAAAGCTCTAGTCAAGATCCTAAAATGAACTCTAAAGTTAACGGGTAACCAGTGCAGAGACATTAGAATAGGAGTGATGTGTGCTCCTCTGTTTGCTCCAGTTAGGAGCCTCGCTGCAGAGCTCTTGAACAACAGAATGTGGTCAAGGGCTTTTTTGTTAAAACATTATAACTTAAATCTGAACTATATTTGTGTATGTGTAATGAATAAATCTAATATACAAGTTTCACTTCTTGAATAGAATTACTAAAAAAAAAATCACCTTTGTCATGATATTCTAAGTTTATGACCAGGACTTGTGTTACGGCTACCAGCCTGGCCATTGGGATGCGGGAGCCAGGATCACCCAGCCCTGGTGATCAGCCCGATATCGCCCCTCCTCCTCCTCTCTTCCAGGCTGCTGAGGATCACAGCTGAGCTGAATCCTGCACCCACACCTGGGATAAAAAGGCTGTGCCTTCAGCAGTCTGGGAGGCAGCAGTGCAGGGGTTGTGCTGTCCTCCAGGCCTCAGTTTGGTTTCAACCCCTTTGTTTGCGATGAGTTTTAACTTTTAAAGTTTTAACTCTGAGTTGAGGAGTTTTAAAGGGAAAAACTCCGAGTGATACATAGGGATCTTTGGTTGATGTCAACTTAGTTGACTCTGGTTTAAGGTTAACTCGGTTTTAGTTTTTAGACTTTTATCAACTTCGTTGTGTTTTTAAATCACCTTCAGTTTAGGTAAAACTTTAAATAAAGTTTTAACCAGGTGTTTTATATAGTTGATCATTTGTCTTTTAATTGTTAACCTTATAGTGACATTTTCGTTTTGCATTATTTTAATAATGCTCGCCATCTGTTTGCACTTGTTTTTTAAACCTTTTATAACAATTAAACCCATTTTAACTCCACTGTCGCATTTCTTATGTTGCCCCCTCCTTCACATTTTAACATCTCCTGTCGGGGACGTAACAACTGGTATCAGGGACAAGTCCAAATTTACTGAAAGAGTACAAAAGTTCCTAAAATGTAAACTGCAGCTTTAAAAAAAATGTAAAATATATGAAAAGTCTGCTTCAACATGTTGGAGTCTAATGTCTTGGGACCCATTTGAAACGTGAGCTATGTTTCTAGGTTGAAGTGTAGTGATACACTAAGCTCACAAACGCAATAGGTCATTGGCTCAATTTTAGTCTTCTTACGTTCATTCAAATAAGTCGTGCTTGACATATACCTTAGTAACTAGCGTTGCCATGGTAATGGATGATGGCAATCTACTTCAATAGTGATGTTCAATGTCCTATGACCCTTTTTAGGGTTTGATGTTTCCATGTTAAAGTTTATTGATACAGTAATTGTTTTGTTAAAAAATATTCTTTTGAAGTCTAATAAAAGAAGGTAAATGGGGAAGTAATGTTTGTTTGCTTAAATGTAAATTAGTTAAAAACAATTATGGTGGAACTGTGTTTGCCGGTGGTCGGATCTGGACTATAAAAGGTGATGCACCAACCGACGCCCAGTTTTAGTAGTCAGACAATCACAGGTACCAAACCTTGGCCCATGTGAAGCACTTTTTGCTTATGTGGCAAGCCTGTGTGGAGCTGGCAGAGTCTTGATTCAAGCAGCGGGAAGGCAGCCGGTAAGAGAGAAACTTAGTAAACTTTATTGCTGGAGTTGTTTTCTGGTTGGCTGTAGCTTAGCCAACGGCCTACTAGCATGGTGATGTGGCATGGCCATATTTGTTTGACATCAATAGTTTGCACTGCAAAGCACTGTGTTTTAAGACTTTGTTAGCAACATTTGATAGACTTTGTCATCTGCTTTTGTAAATTTTATATGGATTGAGCTAAAAGTTTAAGATCATTGATTAATTTAAAAACCAATAAACATGTTTAAGATATTTGCACTGCATAAATTAGAGAATTAAAAGGTTGTTCAAATTTGCATAAATTATTAAAACATTTAAATATTTAAATAGTTAAAATGAAAACAATTATTTTGAAGTTAATTGTGAAATGTACTATTTTGTTTGTTCTCGGTTAAGTATTTGTGCAATTTGAATTTAGTAAAATGTATAGTATGGGTTTGTCGTAACCATTTGCATTTACATGTTTCTTGTTTTAATTGTTTTCAAGGTTTTTACCTGCACGAGACCAACCACAATCCTAAACCTTCTAAAAACTACAAATAAAATGAAGACGACAAGGAAAAATTGTGTGGTCCTTGAGTAAAACCCAGTCATATAACACTGCAAAGACTCTGCCATCCCTTTCAAGTGGGGATTCTACTCAATTTAAGGCAAGACTTGACAATAATCTCTGAAAGTTTATGAACTTTTGTTGCTAATCACATCGCCATGGTAACTCAGAATGCAACTAAAACTTGACGTTGACTAGTGCTTCCGCGAATACTTGACCTAACCGATGACGTCGAGTATGAAATATTGTCAATGTGATTTTTTGCCGTCGACGCGTCCATTTTAAACAAACCAAATTATTTTCATCCATACCAGTAGACGGCGCTGCGCGTGTCACCCATGGACCTGCCCTCAGACGGCGGCTTTTCTTCCCATCTGTTTTACAAGAAAACAAAACTATCGTGGCGGAAAGGTAAGACGGTGCCGAGGCAGTCAGTAAAAGTTTATTTAGGCCAAAGGGCTCAAAGGTATGGGAATATTTTAGGCAAACAGAAAACAAACGAGTAGTTTGTACGCTCTGTAAGGCTTCTTTGGCCTACCACAGCAGCACCACCGCAATGCACAAACACCTGAAAAGGAGGCATACTGGAGCAATTCAAGAGCCACCGGAAAAATCCAAACCACCACCGTAAGTATTATTTTTTAACGTTCTATGCTTGCTTCCACATATTTCTGAAAGGAAACTTACGTGTGGTCATTTAAAGTTATATGTAGATTTCGTTTATAGTTGTTAGTTTTAGAAATTCTGGTAAAGAACGGTTCTTTATTTTATATCTGTAAAACAAGTCAAACTGTAAAGAATGCGAACTTCATGGACCTACATCTTATTATATGTTTCTCTTCTAGTTTTAAAATATTTGACGTGGTAGATAATATTTTTGGTTAAGTTGTTAAAAATACAACCAGATAAAATAATAAAGAAATCTAAAATGCACATATGTATTAAATTCAAAAAAATTGTTTGATGCAGATCAAATCCCAATTCGTTTATTGTTTTCTTATCCTTTCTCTTAGTCATCGTCAAAGCCAAGTCACAGAATTCCTTCAAAAAAAGGACGTCTCACCTCAGCATGCAGCAGCTCTCACTGACAGCATATTGAAGATGATTGTTAAAGACATGAGGCCGCTCAGTACAGTGGATGACGATGGTTTTCGTGCCATGATAAAAACATTTCAACCTGCCTACATTCTCCCTAAAAGAACGTGCTTCACCAACATGATGGAACAGAAATATTCCAAGGAGCTACAAAAGGTAAAAACTGCACTTTCTTCTGGTACTTCCATGATCAGCTTAACAACAGATGCCTGGACGAGTGTTTCCACAGAGGCTTACTTGGGCATAACATGCCATTTCATCAATGACAAATGGGAGCTCATGAGCTACAGTTTGACAACAATGACACTTGAAGACAGACTCCATCCATCCATCCATCCATCCATTTTCTGAACCCGCTTTGTCCACGCAGGGTCGCAGGGGGGCTGGTGCCTATCTCCAGCGGTCAACAGGCAATCAGGCGGGGTACACCCTGGACAGAGAGCCAGTCCATCGCAGGGCAACACAGAGACACACAGAACAAACAATCATGCACAATTAACAGACCAATTAACCTAACAGTCATGTTTTGGACTGTGGGAGGAAGCCGGAGTACCCGGAGAGAACCCACGCATGCACAGGGAGAACATGCAAACTCCATGCAGAAAGATACCAGGCCGGGAAGCGAACCCAGGACCTTCTTGCTACAAGGCAACAGCTCTAACCACTGCGCCACTCACTGCAGAGAATATTGCATACTGGATTGAAGCTGCACTTGAAAAGTCTGAAATTCCTACATCTAAGATACAGGCCATCGTACATGACAATGCAGCTAATGTAGTTGCAGCTCTCAAGCTTTTAGAAGAAAAGCATGGAATATCATCTGTCCAGTGTGCTGGCCACACATTACAGCTGGCAGTAAACCATGCTCTAAAGCTTCCACAAATCCAAAAAGCAATTGGGGCTGCAAGATCCTTGGTTGAACATTTCAAAAAGAGTGAGGCTGCCAGCACAAGTCTCAAAGCAAAACAAAAACAAATGGGCAAACTTGAACACAAGCTCATTCAAGACGTTAGCGTTTCATGGAACAGTTCATACCACATGATCAGTCGCCTACTCGAGCAGAGATGGCCCATCACAGTATGTCTGTGTGACCAAGCAGTGACACACAGAAAAAAGCATTACCTTGACCTCAAAGCTGATCAGTGGAGCCTGCTGGAAGAGTTGGAACAAGCTCTCAAACCATTTGAATGGGCCACTGTTTACCTAAGTGGGGCATCATATGTGACACTATCTTCTCTACCATCCCTAATTAAAGGAGTGGTTAAGTCCTCACAGACCTCAGCTTTTGACAACACTGCTGTGCAAGCATTTCAGGCAGCTGCAGCTGAAGAAGTCTCCAAAAGGTGGGATGCTGAGATTACCTGCAAGGATGATGCTGCAAATACAAGCTTAATAGCAACTTCCCTGGATCCCAGGTTTCGCAAACTTAAATTCTTATCTACAGATGAAAATGTGAGACTGCAGGCTAAAATCCAAGATCTTGCACACAAAGAGAAACGGAAGGTGGTGGAGATGTCACAGCAGCAGCACACTTTGGAGGTTCAAGCAACCACAGAAGAGAGGACAAGTGTGCCCGTCTCTTTACTGGACAAGTTGCTTGGTTCAGACTCTTGACACATCCAGCATGAATGATAGTGGTGATGAAACAGATGAAAGTGGGTTTGTGAGAGAAGAAATACTCCAATATTTTCAGGAACACACCTCCCCCAAAAGCACAAATCCTCTGCAGTGGTGGAAATCAAATGAAGCAAGGTTTCCTTCCCTAGCTTCCCTTGCGAAGTCCTACTTGTGTGTACCTGCCACTTCAACTCCTTCTGAGCGTCTCTTTTCCTCAGCTGGAAACATTGTCTCAAAGAAAAGAACCAGTCTGAGTCCAGAACATATCGACATGTTAACATTTTTTCACTACAGCACTGCAGTTTAACCTCATTCAACACAAAATACCACTTCTCCTGACCTGTAAAAAACGCAGTTAAAATTCAACTTACTTTTCAAAGTTCTTTAAAATGTAAATTTGCACTACTGAGCCATTAAGTCCAGTTTTGTTCTTGTTCTCAGGATGGACTTGTTTCATTTTTGTCCTAAAATTTCAGAAAAAAGTAACTATGAAAATGAATGCCTGATGACACATCCAGGTAACCTGTTGCACTGGTGTAGTAAGAAAAAATACTGCACATGTTTACTACAAATGGATTGCAACAACATTTTATTAATGCCAAAATGGTGTCTTTGTTAACTTCTTGTTCAGTCTCAAGTTAAAAGCTTGAATTTGGTCAACAAACCTTTTGATTTTTTTTCTATTTAAATAAAAGGTAAATAGGATTTTGTTGGAATTGGCACTTTATTTACAGGTGCGATTTTTATTTGCAGAGTTGTACTTCCATAAATGAATGTTTTGAGAAGTAAATGTTAGAAGTTTGTTGAAAATAAAATGACCTGAAACTAAATTGTTTTTTTTTTCTTCTTAAACAAAACTAATCATTTAGACTAATCGATTAATCGGTAAATTAGTCAGTAGAATAATCTAAATGAAATTAGTCGTTAGTGGCAGCCCTAACGTTGACGTTCCCTGAATGTGTTTGAGGTTGGCCCTCTTATGTTGCTTTTATTTCCCTGTTTATATTGGTCATTTGATCCCTTGTTTTATCCATTTGTTTCTACTTTAATGTTTTACCCTCTGTGCACTATTTTAATTGCTTTTATTATTGATTTATTCATTGTGATTTACATTTCTTATGTACTGTGTACAGCACATTTGGCTCCCTGACAGGGTCGCGGAAGGCGCTTTATAAATAAAGCTTTGATTTGAAGCTGTTACACCTCGTTCACATCAGCTGTGAAGTGGATAGATCAACAATTTAGCCCGCTCTGTTAATGTCAGGCGAGAATTTTTGACGAGCACTTCTGCTCACGCCTACTGTCAACTTTGCTTCGCAGGAGTGTGTGTGTGTGTTCATTTTCATCTCTAGTCTGTTTAGATACACAGAAATGATCACATTTATCAATCATGGTGTTTTATTTAGAAAAAAAATAGTGTCTTTTGTTAAACTTACCAGCCTGCCTCTTCTATTTTGGTTTGACTTCTTGCCAGAATTTCAGCGGCTCACGAAAAAAACGATCGCTGCACAGCGCGAGTCTTCTCCGCAGCGCATTCGCTTCTGACGTGAACAAGGGATTAGTGTCACTCTGACAATCACTGTGCCGAAACTAGTTGTATTTGTAAAAATGGGTTGTCAGTGTTTCACACCCTGTACACAGACAAACAAAATAAACATGCATACCCATAGATACACATGTGTGAAACATTTATTTGTACTAAACACTTTCCCAATCACACGTCCAGTTCTGATCTCTCTAGCTTAAAGCATTAATACAACTGTTATGTGTGAGTATAAAGTTACAGCAGTTGATAATTCATTTCATGTGTTTCTTACAGAAAATCTTCAAGTGGTGATGGTTAAAGAAGAAGCTCCTGAAGATCAGAGTCCTGGTATGGACCAGCAGGACCCAGAACACCTCCAAATAAAGGACGAACAGGAGGAACTCTGGATCAGTCTGGAGGAAGAGCAGCTCCATTTGAAGGAGGAGACTGATGCCTCCAGGTTTTCATTCACTGCAGCTTCTATAAAGAGTGAGGATGATGAAGAGAAGCCTCTGTTCTCACAGCTTCATCAGCAGCAAATAGAAAACAGAGATGTTTCAACCAGCAGCTCCGCTGACCAGATGAAAGCAGAAACTTGCAGGAACCCAGATCTGAACTCTCATGAACAGACACCTGATTCTTCAGAAACTGAAGTTAGTGGAGATGAAGAAGAGGATGATGATGTGAATCTAGACTCTGAACTGTCAGACTCAAAGCCAGAGACTGGAGATGGAGACAATGACAGGAATAAGAACAGGTCTGCAGAGTTGGATGTTAAAACTGCAAACAAATCCTTTAGCTGCAATGAGTGTGGTAAACGATATTTGCACAAGTGGTCTCTCCAGAGACACGTGAAAGTGACGAGTCATTCAGCAATAATATCTTCAGGCTGTTTGATTAATAAGAAATGTGTTGGAGTGAAGCAACATGTAGACTCGTGCAGGGAAGTCCAGACAGAACAAAAATCATTTAGTTGTGATGACCATGGAAAAAGATTTACCAGAATATCAAATTTAAACACAAACACGAGAGTTCACTCAGGAGTGAAGCCTTTTGCTTGTGAGCACTGTAGGCAAAGATTTAGCCAAAAGTCAGATTTAAACACACACAAGAGGGTCCATGCACGACCGAATCCTTTTCCTTGTGACCACTGTGGACAAAGATTTAGCTGCAAGTCAAATTTAAACGCACACATTAGAGTCCACACAGGAATGAAGCCTTTTGTCTGTGAGAACTGTGGACAAAGATTTAGACAAAAGGTTCATTTAAACAGTCACATGAGTGTCCACACTGGAGTGAAGCCTTTTCCTTGCAAGCTCTGTGGAAAAAGATTTAGCAGCAAGTCAAATTTGAACACACACATTAGAGTGCACACAGGAGTGAAGCATTTTGCCTGCGAGGACTGTGGACAAAGATTTAGTCAAAAGGCACATTTAAACAGTCACATGAGTGTCCACACAGGGGCGAAGCCATTTTCTTGTGATTTCTGTGGACAAAGATTTACTGAAAAGTCAAATTTAAAAAAACATATTAGGATCCACACAGGAGTGAAACCTTATGCCTGTGAGCACTGTGGGGAAAGATATCGCCAAAAGACAAGTTTAAACTTGCACATGAGTGTCCACACAGGTGTGGACTCAGATGGGCAAGATAAGCCTTTTATTTGTGAACACTGTGGACAAAGATTTAGCTTCAAGAAAAATTTAAACACACATATGATTCTCCACGCACAGGGTTCGTACGGATGCTTGAAATCCTTGAAAATGCTTGAATTTTAAACACACGAATGTCCACAGGAGTAAGTTCTTTTGATTGGGAGCTCTGTAGACAAAGATATTGCTAAAAAAAAAAAAGGTTTAAACTTGCATGTAAGAGTCCACACATGTGTGAACTCCCATGTGCAACATAAGCCATTTGCTTGTGTTCACACTGGACAAAGATTTAGCTTCAAGAAAAAATTTAAACACATACATGATTCTCCACACACATTGTTACTACAGATGCTTAAAAATCTAGAAAATGCTTGAATTTTATTAACATGTTTTCAAGGTATGTAAAGTGCTTAATTTCTTTATTAAATCCTTGAAAATGCTTGAAAAACAAATTTCACAGTTTTGTCTTTAAAATCAACCAAGATAATTTGATGAAGTAGCTGTTATTTTTGTTAACATCAAAAAGCTGAGCAGGACCATTTAACATGGTTGCTGCTGCTCTTAGTGGGTCCACTCCTTTCTGTAACACTGGCGTGTGAGCAGCAGACTCCCAATACTATTGAGACTAGCCGCTGGACCAGCAGTGTCTTATGGCTTTACTTTGAAGCAGACCTACTTGGGCATGAAACTTTTAACCCTTACCCAACATTAAAGCATTTTTTTGTGCTGACACTTGTATTTTTGTGAATAACTTTGGCTATGTTAATGCGTTTTATCTAATTTTTGGTGAGGATGTGCATTTTTGAAGGAATTTCTAAAACTAGTTAGAAAAAAAATCTTCAACTCCCTTTATTATAAAGCAGAAATTTTTTGTAGCGTTAAGCATTTATTTATTAAGCATAAATATTAGCATAATTTAAAATATATATATTATTCTGTCTGTGGTCCCAGACCAGTCACACATTCAATGTTTACTTTTTACCGTTTTCCACTAGATGGCGTATTTTCTCCATATATAGCAGGGCAATGACTGACACTGCATTTAAATTAAATGATTCTGCTGTATTTCTTTACCTCTGACTGTCCATTATAATACATATTTTGAAAAAAAAAGGTTTGTGTGTTATTTAGAGATTCCTTTCAATAGTTTGCATGTGTGTGATCTGAATTTTTGATAATTGTGTTTTTACAGTGTGCCTTAAAAAATAATTCTTTACTGAAAGTAGAAAATCTGCTCATTCTCAAAATGGCATTTTGACATGTGCCACTCTGTGTGTGCTTGTGCAGGCATGCATGCATGCAGGGATCAAAGCACTTTACAAATCTTCAAAAGACAGATCTTTGATCATTATTTGGAGTGGCTGTGCAGGTGTGGGCAAGGGCAGTGTGTGTGTGTGTGTGTGTGTGTGTGGGGGGGGGTGTTCTCATGCACACTGTTGAAATCATGAATATTCATCAAAGGCATGCTATATATAAAAAACAAAGGATTTTCTGCAAAATTTCAGATACTCACAATTTTACTTTTGTAAATTGTTATTTCAACAAGCACAAAGCATTTGCATGGATGAAAATTAAGATGAAGGCTGAAAAACTTCAAAGGCGTACATTTGTTTTGCAAAATAAATTCCTGCAGAGACAAACTAGAGGGAGAAACAATAGGCCAAAGCAGAGAGATTGAGGAGGAGCAGCAGTGGGGGAGCAGCAGGTGTCTGGTGAGTTAACCATGTTAGCATTATCTCGTGTGCTAACATCACAATATTGTACAGATTACTATCGTGTACAGGGGCGGATTTAGGACTGAAGAAGATCCGGGGCAGAGAGTCGCCTAAGGTGTTGGATGATGATATAAGGGAGGGGGAGTGAGCGTGGGGTGAGCCTCCCTGTGGGGTAAGGGTGTGTTCACAAGGGTGTGTGTTGGTAGGGGGGTTGTATTGGCGGTGGTTGGATGGTGTACAGGGTGGGGGGGTTCGTGCGCTTGTTGTGTGTGGTGGGTTGTGCAGACTCGGCAGTGGGGGTGGTTGTTGTGGCAGCAATACGCCTTTTAGGTGTCCAGCTTGCCTAATTCATTGAAGAAGAGATCCTTAAGGTTGTTTTTCCTGGAGTTAAGGTGAGGGATGCGGCCGACAGCAACCCGGAATAAAGATCCGAAACAGAACAAGTTGGAGTCCTTACAATATCTTTAAAAAAATGTATTCTATAGGTGTAGTGGCTTTTATTTTGCCGTGGTGGTGCGACACAATTAGTTTAGACATTTATTTTGACATCTAGCAGGAAAAATTACGTACCGTAAATCCTCTAATACAGGCCCGGGCCTGTATTTGACTCAAGCTCATCAAGCTCCAGGCCTTTATTGGAAGGAGGGCCAGAATTAGAGGCAGGCCTCTATTTCTATTTGAGCAAAATGAACTAATGGGTCGCTGGAGTTTTGACAATTAAAATTGCGCCCACATTTTCAAAGTTAAACACTTTTTTTTTTTACAACGGTAGTTTCTGCTTCAGCCCTCTCTCCCCTCCCCCTGCCCAGCGGCCGCAAACTCACTGATGCGCCTGCAGCCTCTCGGAGTTCCTGCTGCTCTAAACATTAAAATAATGATTTCATTTTCTGTTCCTCACTTCTGATTACCTTCAATGGTGTCTGTTTGTTGCAACCACCAGGTACAAAAACTAACTTGTTTTTATTTGACTTTTTCTGTCCTGTCTGTTTATTATCTTCCTGCATCTCCTCTCAGTCCTAAAGAAAAACTGCTACCTGGGTTCATATATGTTCACCTTATGAGTTACCTTTGAACTGCAGTTCTAAAAGATCTACCGACCGCAAAACAGCGGAGTGCTCGCTGCTTGGTGGCCGCATCAGTGATCGGTGCGTCACCGGATGACAAGGTGATGTGCCCCGCTCCACAGCGAAACGCATCAGGCGCAAATAAAAGACAGAAAACATTACAGGAAATGAACTGACATGAACGATCGCATGTTAAATTAGTTTTTGAGGTGGCGACACCTGATTTGATAATGTTACTGTGGCCGTGCTCAGGACGCAGATCTACCGACCGCAAAAACAGCGGAGTGCTCCCTGCTTGGCGGCCGCATCAGTGATCTGTGCGTCACCGGAGGACAAGGTGATGCGCCCCGCTCCACAGCAGCGAAACACATCAGGCGCAAATAAAAGACAGAAAACATTAAAGGAAATGAACCGACATGAACGATCGCGTGTCAGTACCGACTCTCTGGCACAGTGCGTTTCCCCCCCCGAGCGCAGGAGCTTGTCACCTGCTGACAGCAGGCTGCTGTCTTTTCCGAGGGCTGCATCTTCCCGGTCATTATCACGTGACAGCGACTAGTCGATGACGGGCATAAAAAGTCACTGTAGTGTAGTCGACTAGTTCATACAACCCCTATTGCTCCCAAGTTTTCTGCAGAGCACGTTCTCTTTGAACTTGATATCAAATTTTCGCCTCCTCTTTATCTCTGCACGGTTAAAGTTACCCTTGCAGTCTATCACTGGCAAATCAAAAGTGAGACGATGACACAACTGCCCCCCGTACTTGCTTGTTACCACATTCCACCCGGCCACGTAAAGAGACCGGCCATTATTCACCTCCGCCGACTCCGACACCGGCCAAAATATGAGACCCGGCCGTTAATTGAATACAGGCCTGTATTAGAGGATTTACGGTATGTTGATGCCCATTCTGACTGGTTGGTGAGAAGCTGCAGTAACCCCCATTAAGGCGTTTTTGTAGCCCAAGCAGAAACGCCCCACGACTGGCTGGACCCTTCTCTTCCAACTCGCAGCTGTGTGGAAAACTCGGATCTCGACGGGGGACTCATATCGATGTAACACCTGTTTTCTGCAAAGGCTAACAGGAAACAACTACACAATCCACCTCTACCTAGCCCTTATCTCACCTATACTAGATCCCTTTTGCACAGAATGGATGGCTTGGAATTACAACTTGCTGGAACTTGCTATGTTAGTGAAGAATGCATGGTTTGATATTCAACATAAACCGTGCGTCCCCTGGTAATACCCGATGCTAGCATGTAGCTAGCAGGCCGCACGCTGCTCCGTGGGTGCAAAGACGAAGGACTCCGGTAAGAGCAGCGGATGGGGGCTTTGAGTTTGTGGTGCAACAACGAGACAATTTTCCCCTGACCCTGCGTGCATCATGTCTACAAGACCTTTCTCTTGCTAGAGGGCAAACTGTGATTGTCATACGGGGCCGGTGCTAGCCATTTGGGTGCCCTAAGCACTAATGCTCTGTGGTTCACCCTCCACATTTTTTGCCTCAACAACAACACCACACAATTAAATAAATAATTATAATTGGTTTTAATATTAATGCCACTACCATTATTATAAAAAGATTAATGAAATGATTGTAGATGAACTGAATATTAAAAACAGTAAAATGTAATAAATAGGTTTGGCTTATTGAAGTGTTATTGCTGTTACTCATCCTTCAAAGTACGTAGACTTTTTGTGCACTTTTATACATTTTGTTATTTCTGCACATTCACCTTGCTTTACAGAGTGAATTGACCCTTGTTCAAAACAAGTTTTTCTTTCTTGAGGAAGGTTTATTAGGAGGAACTTGTTAAAATAAAAAAAATAATCTAACTCTCCAGAACTTCTTTACATTAAGTTCTATATTTTAGATTAAGAAAATATGTTCAGACTAAATTATGTAACGGAACTGAAGTGATGTAACTATCTAGAGTTGTATTTTAATATACTGTAAGTAGATCACTTGTAATAATCAGAAGATAGGCTGTTTTTATCATCAGGGAGTTTAATTAAACACTCTGTATTGACCTTGAGACAAGAAAAGAGAGAGTTGGGATCGTTTAAGAATTTTATTACAAATTCTACAATCTATCAGGACTAACTCTGTGTTGTTTGGAAATGAATGTGATGTTCGATGTGTGTGTGTGTGTGTGTGGTTGGTTCAGACTCCCTAGGCTGACGTCATTGAATCTGGTCGTCTTTGTTATGACTAGTGTTCTAAAATAAAATGTTTTATTTTATTTTAATTACCTTAAAAGACTCAAAGTCTCTTTTTACACTTTATATTTATTTAATCAGGATCGTTGTCAAGTCGACGCCAGAAACAATGAAACACGACTTGAATATCAGATGAACAACAAGGCTTTATTCAACCGGCATTCATACAAGTTATCAATCATGAACGAAACATTTCTCTTACCGTTGCTTATGGGTGGAGAGCTGAACACCCCAGTTAGAAAATGTAATCCATGAACCTCGTCAGGTAGAATCCAACAAGCAGCTCTAACAGCTCTGAGCTCTGCTCTGCTCCTTATACATTCCCTGATGTGCGTGCAAAGCTGCACACCTCCACCAGGATTACCTTGATTACATCCTCATGATCACATTATGTTCGGCTCTACCATGATTATCCTCATGATAAGTGTGATTGACAAACAGTAGTGATCAATAACTTGTATAAAGCAATTATACAACAGATGACAAGTTCATTTTTATTACATTCCACTCTTGAACTTTTCATCTAATTTATGTAACATCATGGATCCATCACCATTTCCCCATGATAGTCTGAGTCTATTACCCCAGCTAAAATGGTTAGACCCCTCAAAGCTAAACCACTTCTTGGACACACATGAGCATAAGTTCCTGGTGGACATTGAATTCCCAATCCTGTTTTTACCACTGTCACTTTATTGGTTACTAAAGTGATGCTTTCCAAGATTTTAAGATCTAATCCCACAGAGCCCGCAGTTGCTCTAACAGGGAGTTCTGCCTCAGAAGTTAGTTTCCACATTCGTATAGGAGGGTCAGTAGAAGTTGTTTCCCTTCCTGCCCTGGCAACCATTAGCATCAGTGGAGTAACTCCATCCCCCACGGGTCTGTTATTTAACTGATGTACTGCCCTAGTCAGATTTTCTCTCCATTTGTCCAAAGAATTAGTAACCGATAGTTTCCTTAGTTTCTCTTTCAGTAACCCATTCATTCTCTCAATGAGTCCACTAGCTTTCGGGTGATATGCTACATGATAGATCCATTCTACCGCGTTGTTCTCTGCCCATTCTTTGATCTTATTTCCAGTGAAATGGGTACCATTATCAGTCTGAACCTGTAAAGGTAGTCCATAATAGGTCTCTATTAATGACAGACATTTCAATGTAGCCTCCTGATTGGCGTTATGACACGGATGCACCACCAGTACCCCTGACACCGTATCCACGGCTGTGCATGCATACTTACAGTTTTTACTTTTTGGCAATGGTCCAATGAAATCAATCCGCCAACACTGTCCCGCTTGTTTACCTCGATGTATCTGTCCCTGTATATGTCGAGGGATTCTCTTTTTCTGATGTTGACAAGGTTCACAATCTTCTATGGCAGTTTTAATATCATCAATGATGAGATCTATTCCTCTGTCCCTCGCCCATTTCAATGTTCCCTGCACACCCCAATGTCCAGCAGTAACGTGAGCCCATTTGGCTAATCCAGGACTTGATTGTCTTACAGCCTGAATTTTCACTATCTTATCTACAGTCTGATTATGCAGGGATTCAGGATCATTGTTATTAGTATGAGCATCCACATGTAATACTGACACAGGAATATTTTGGCATTTCTCCCAAATGTCCTTCCATAGGTCAGCTCCCCAAACCTCTTTTGAATGTATCTTCCATTGTGTAGCATGCCAAGTTGGCATCCAAGTTAACATTCCTTGGGCTACTGACCAGGAGTCAGTATAAATACTTACTCCCTGCACCCCAGCCGCCATTATTACCATGTGTACTGCTTTCAACTCCGCCCATTGACTACTCTTTTCTGTCCCTGTGAGTTCCATAACTTGTTGTGTACCAGGGTTAAATGCCCCAGCCTTCCATTTCCTGGTTCCTGCCACATATTGACAGGAACCATCAGTGAACCAGGCTCGCTCCTGCTGCTCTGGGGTGAGTTCGCTCCATCTTACCCCCAGTTTCACAGGAGAATCCTGGATTGGTTTTACCTCAAAAGGCACTTCATCCATTTCTGGAACGTCTGCCACTTGCTCGTGGAGCATTGATACTCCTTTTTCTACAATGTTTCCCTTTATTTTATCAGGATTGCCATGAATTACCGAGGCCTCCGCCCCAGTGTCAACCAATGCCATTACTGTCTGTACTGATTTTTTCCAATAAATCTGTAATTCCACATGTGGTCTGATATCATTTATTGACCATCCTGAGGCACTGGCAACAACCTGAGCTTGACCTTCATCCTATTCATCATCATGTTCCCTTCGGTGCTGTTTTTTCTTTCTACGCTTCACTGCCGCCACCTGATAACACTCATCTGAACTCTCCTCCTCTGAAGATTCCTTGGGAGGGGCGGAAGGTTCAGCAGGCTTCGACGCCACCTCCCTGATCACATTCTGCAACATTCCAACCAATTCTGACACAGACATCCTGTCGTCCTTTTCAGGACAATGTCTGAACTGACAATGGACCTTCAGTCCCATTTGTCTGCATTTCTCCATCAATGCATTAGTGGACAATCCATCAATCTCCTCAAACGGCACTCCCGCTTGTCGCAGTGCCCTCCACAGATCTGTTCTAGAGGGGCCCATTGACAGATCTGTTCTAGAGGGGCCCATTGCCCCCCCTTTACGACCCCTTGAATGTGGATCAATCCTGGGTTTATTTTCAGTTCTAGCTCCCTCTCTCCTCGTCTCAGACCAATCACCCAGCGTGGTGAGTTCGCCAAGACGATCTTTTATCGCGGCAAAAGTCTGGTCTGCCGCGCCAAACAACAAGCTGGTCACCATGGGTTTATAATGTGGTGGGGCATGTCTGATGAGGTGATCTCTAGTTGCCTTAGAGATGTTACAGTCCACCACTCCAGCTCCCCCGTTTCGAGCCACTTGCTCTCTAATAGTGAGTCTGGTGAGCCGCTGAATGGCATCTCTCACTGTCTGCCATTGCCCTTTAATCTCAGACCAGTCCGCCGTGGTAGGATAGATTACATGACATGCCAGAGCATATGCATCCCCCACATTGAAATCTTCATCAGCTGGCAATGCCCGGACTGTAGCCCGGTATTCAGCATTTATCTGTGCATCAGTACTTAATCCTGAAAATCTCATGGCATCACCGGCATCTATGGCTATATCACACGCGCCATCCTCCATAAGGCGATTAAGCCAGGAGTCAGTTGGTTCGCCTGGGCGCTGTTTCAGCTTCCCATTCATGTGATTTAACTCATCTTGTGAATAATCCTCTAGCGTTGTTAGCAGCCTAGGGGCGGGTTGTGGCTGCTGTTGTAACATCCTTCTTATATTACCCGCCTCATCGAGTTCCGGCCGTCCCTGATCATCCACCATATCTACCAGTATTGGTGGAATAATTTGCTGTTCTCGCCGACGCCTAGTAATAGGTCTTTGTTCTGACATCTTTATCCCCTGTAATGATGGATACAAGGGCTGAGGTGGTGGGTCAGGTTTAATCGCCCACTCCTCCTCCTCATCATCCCCCCAAAGATCCCCGTTCCATTTCTCTGGGTTCCAATCTTCACCAACATTCTTTACAAACGCCCGGATCTGAGCAGGACCTGCTCTACGAGGTCGCTTCTTTTCCTTCCTTTGCGCTCGAGACACAAAAGTCAGCGTTTTATCCAAAACATTCTGAGCATGCTTTAGCTCTTTCCCCATCACACACACTCTCTGCTCAAACTCTGAGCATGATTTTCCAACTTCTTCAGCATGGATTTTCTCCTGCGCCGCTCGCTCTCTACAACTGCTCAATTCTAACTCCTGTTTTTTCCATGCTTCTGCAAAAAGCCACATCATATCTCTCACTCCTGCCAGCGGCGCTTTTTCTTTTAACTTCTATCCGCGTCAAACGGTCCAGCACCACGGCGGGGCTGACCACTCCATTTAACTCTCCCCACGGCCCAGGGCGTCCACCGCGCTGCCTTAACATATCACCAATGGTTCGGAACTCCTCCGTTTCCCAGCCGGGAATCGGCACGGGAATCGGCGTTCCCTCCCCAGAAGCACTCGGCTCCTTTTTGCTTCTCCAAAAACACTTCATTGTTGCTGGAATAGCTTGACTGATCCTGTTCGTGACGCCAAAAATGTTCTAAAATAAAATGTTTTATTTTATTTTAATTACCTTAAAAGACTCAAAGTCTCTTTTTACACTTTATATTTATTTAATCAGGATCGTTGTCAAGTCGACGCCAGAAACAATGAAACACAACTTGAATATCAGATGAACAACAAGGCTTTATTCAACCGGCATTCATACAAGTTATCAATCATGAACGAAACATTTCTCTTACCGTTGCTTATGGGTGGAGAGCTGAACACCCCAGTTAGAAAATGTAATCCATGAACCTCGTCAGGTAGAATCCAACAAGCAGCTCTAACAGCTCTGAGCTCTGCTCTGCTCCTTATACATTCCCTGATGTGCGTGCAAAGCTGCACACCTCCACCAGGATTACCTTGATTACATCCTCATGATCACATTATGTTCGGCTCTACCATGATTATCCTCATGATAAGTGTGATTGACAAACAGTAGTGATCAATAACTTGTATAAAGCAATTATACAACAGATGACAAGTTCATTTTTATTACAACTAGATATCACGAGGCTTATAAAGTGATGACATGAGCTGCTATTTTGCCGTGTACGTACCCAGTGGGGGGCCTCCCAGGTAGATCAGGAAATGCCAGGTCCAAGAACCTCAGATGTGTACTGGAGCTGTTGGAGCAGCGGTCGCAGCACGTCAAAGCCCGTCTGAAGGGTCGACCCCGGTACTAATCGGCAGCGTCAACAGGTGCTCTTATTTTGAAAGGATGTCGTCTGGTTGTTAAACGACGAAAATCTCCAACTTCACAGTTCTCAGTTTAAAGAAGAAAACACATCTGGCCAGGCTGTGCTTTTCTTTAGGATGACGGTGAATAGAACTGAAGTCAAAATGGAACTGAGCTTAAAATGGCGTTGCCTTGTTTTATATCTCTGAATTGTTTTAAGTTTCAGTAAACGGGATTGGACACTTTAAGTCAACACCAGATTCTCTTGCGGCAGCCGAAGGCTTTGATTGGTTGGAACAATGTGTCATGCGTTTCTATGGAGATGAGGATCAGTCTGTCTGTGCAATAGTCCTGTTTTCATTAAACATAAATCATGACCTATTTATTTCACAGATCATTCACTTGATTATTATCGATCAACATATGCTTTGCTTAATTTTCTTAATCACAAATAAAGTACTTTGATTAAGTAAAAGCGTTCTTCTTCTCCTTCGGACTCTTCTCCTGGAATGTAAACAGTCTGAGGAACACCCGACCTTGGCTTTTATACACGGGTGTTACTGTGTACAGGGGCAGCTGTGTGGAGCTGAAAATTCCGAACTTCATAACCTTACAATTATTTTGATTGCCAGGTTTGATATCTGTATGTCTATCAACAGTTAAAGCGGACATATCATACAAATCAAATTTTTGGAGCTTTTTGGCATGTAATATTGTTTCCACATGAAAAATACCCCCAAACCCATTGTTTGTTTCATTCATGCATGTTTTTGTTTCAGCTGCAAATTTAGAATTTTATTTTGAAATTCCTGAAATGGCCTAATTAGGGATAGGTACCAATTTCAATACCCTTTAAGGCACTGACCGAATTCCATATGTTTATATTTATGTTTATTTATTTTTGGCAGACGCCTTTGTCCAAAGCGATTTACAATTTATAACCTATAGGGCATACTGTGATCTGTGGGAGAAACCGGAGTATAAACTTTTACTTACTTACTTACCCGGAGGAAACCCACGCATGCATGGGGAGAACATGCAACTCCACGCAGAAAGGCCGCAGCGAAGTTTCGAACCTGCAACCTTCGTGCTGCCAGGCAACAGTGCTAACAACTGCGCCACCATGCAGCCCATAGAACCGACTGAGTACCGATTCACGTCATATGAAACGGTGTCTTGTTTCGGCCATCCTTTTGAAAATACCGTGCTCTATTCTGGGAAATTTTTGACCAAGGCCATGCTTAAAGGCTCCTCCCATGTATCCTTGCTCAGCTAGCTAAACGGCTAACAAACTGAGAACAGACGACTCGATAGAACACGAACATTGGAACTCGCCTTGGCTGTTCCTGATAACGTATCTCCTAAGCAACCGGGGCGGGACCAAGACATCAAGGCAACGTTCCTTGACATTGAAAAACACCTGGAGTCATTACGATATGATTGCTGATACAAGTCAATATTCTTAGATTCCTGCCAAGTTTGCCCTAATAACTCCACGGTGCATGACCCACATGACTGTAATCTTCAGTAGATGCAATTGCATCATGAGTTTAGCTTGATAGACTTTTTTTTCCTCTGAACAAGAAAAAAAATACTGGAAATAATGTGAAAGATGTATGAAAATATTGTGAAAGATAGGTGGAATTAAAATTATTTTACATTAATTATAGATTTATAATTAAAAGTGTCTGTGGGAGCTTTGAGACATCTCTAGCTTTCAACTGAGAGATACTTTAAGACAGGCTCAAGGTCCAGTTTACATTAAAAATAGTTACAAATACAGTATAAAATGAACCATGTAAAACCATATAAACCTACATGTGTGTTAACAGACAGCTGTACCAGTGTTTCTAAAGCTCAGACTGAGAGAATAGGCACTAAGGGTATTGTTTGACAAGAATCAATATGTCATTTATCTGCTGATGAATAAATGTATAAAATTTCTCAAGACAGCTTGAAGGGAGTTAACTTTTAAATGTTTTACAGGACAATAAATATTGAGTTATATATCGTACATTGGAGTTCAGCTAAAATATATTGAGATATAAGTTTTGGTCCATATCTTCCAGCCCTAGTTGTACATCACTCCATCTTCCTGCTCCCAACATCAAGCCCTGCTCCTCCCCTAAAAGCTAGTCTCTGGTCTGAAACCTGTCTCCCCTGGACAGCTCAGAACATGTGGGATAGGTAACAAGTATCATGTAACAGAATTGGTAGTCTTGTGGATAGAGTACTGGGCTGGCATGTAGCTTTGCGCAGGTTCACATTCTGGTCTCAGCAGTAACATTTTTCTTTTCTTTATTTCTCTTTTTTTATTTTTTTGCTGCACTTGATGTTTTCAAATTCTGTATTTGTAAACAGTTTGTTTATTTAGCCAGTGTGAGTCCATGTGAAGTGAGCAGTCAATTTTAAAAAATGCTGCTTGGAAATGACCTCCCTGGTCTGCCACCTTACCATGGTGGAGGAGTTTGAGTGTCCCAATGATCCTAGAGGCTAAGTTGTCTGAAGCTTGTTTTATGCTTGACGCATTACTTTCCGCTTGGTGATGCGGCTCGCGGATGGAACGCGCTTCACAATTTGCAGCGTTTATGGTTCATGCGGCTTGTTTCTGCGGTGAGCCAATATTCTCCCAAACTGTAGGGGGCAGCATGGAGCTCTACAGCATGCATCCAACACCACACCATAGTAGAAGTAAAAATTACTGTTGTTTACAACATGGCATTCCAGCATTTTTTAACAGCGTCCTCGTCTTTTCCGACAGTGCGAGCTATTTCTCTCCAAGAATTATTAACTACATGTTGATCACGGTGATCAATCAATCAATCAATCAAAGCTTTATTTATAAAGCGCCTTCCGCAACCCTGTCAGGAAGCCCAAAGCGCTGAACATTGTACAGTTGTATGTAAATATATTGAATAAATCAACAATAAAAGAAATTCAAATTACAAAATACAAATTACAAAATACAAAATGGAAATTACAAGATAGATGAAACATTCTGGGATCTCTGAGATCCCAGAGAGAACTGTGATCTCTGAGAGTTGAATCATACAAATGTCTGTATTTACGAACCTCTGCCATACTAGTTCTTGCCAGTCCGCCATGTTTTTCCGCGTCCGACCGTCTGCGTGGTTAGAAAATTTCCTAGGTGCGCGGTGCGGAAATTTTGGGCCGTGCGGAGAAACGTGGTTGTTAAAATGACGCAATTTTGCCGCGCAGAGCCATGCGAACCTCGCAGATGCGTCAAGCATAAATCAACCTTGAGGGAATGTGTGATGGGTGGTAGCCGAAGGCATGAACCTTGGCAGTCTGATCTTCAGCTACAGAAGCTGGATCTGGGTATGTGGAATGTCACCCCTCTGGTGGGGAAGGAGCCTGAGTTGGTGTGCGAGGTTCCGACTATATATAGTCAGACTCACCTTGATGCATGGCTCTGGCTCTGGAACCAGTTTCCTTGAGACACTCTTGAGACACTCCACCACTCACAAACTGGAGTTGCCCCCACTGAGAGGCGCCGTTACGTTGGGGTTTACCCCGGTAAAAGAGAGAGTAGCCTCCCTCAGGGAGGCATTGGGTCCCATTTTTTCAAAGCCAACCAGGATTTGAACCTCGATCCCCCAGTCCCAGGGTAGACAATCTACCTCTAGCTGGATCCACTAAACTGCCCAAATAATGATTACAAATGTCTACTACATCATTAAGCCCTTTTTACAAGACACACTATGCTGGCAAATCAGCGTAATATTACTGCAACAGTGTCCTACAAACGCGGCATGGTGATGCACAAATTTTGCGGCATTCTATCTGCCGCGCTTGGTACTAATATTGCTGTAATAGTCTGTCTCATAAAGGGCCATTGCACCTTTACGCTACAGAGGAAGGTGTCATAATCACGTGGCGAGTTGCTGCCGAGCAGAACGTCGACCCAGAGATAAGGTTTGCTTTTGTAATCAGAATCAGCTGAGATGACAAACTGGAGCAATGCAACACTCTAGGAGCTTCTCTCCATTAGAGCTGGATGTCAGATCATCAGAAACTGCACAGGAATATTTAGGACAGACACCTTTAAGAGCAGCTTGTCAAAATAACTTAATGAGCGCAGCTTCGATCGCAATAAAATGCAAGTTATGTCCAAGATAAACGAAAGTCCGCAGCAGTGCAGGGATCGCCCCCAAACTTCCTTTACACCGCTGTTGCCTAATATTTTGTAAAAAGGACATGATTGCGCCACATTTACACCATGGTCTGACCACTTAAAAACAACCTAAGGCTCCCTGATGCTTCCACGGGGTTGCAGCAAATTGACAGCATTGTTTTTGTAAAAACAACTATAGTGCCTCCAGCATGTCCTGGGTTTTTCCTTGGGTTTCTTCCCGGTTGGACATGCCCAGAAAACCTACTTGGTTGAGCAAACACACACGCACCCTCTAGGACACCCCTTAAGGGTATAGAGCTGATCCAGTGTTCCACGGCCAGGACAAAACCACATTGCTCCTCCTGGATCCGAGGTTCGACAATCTGACATACCCTCTTCTTCAGAACTCTTGAGTAGCCCTTACCATGGAGGCTCAGGAGTGTGATCTTCCTGTAGTTGGAACACACCCTGCAGTCCCCCTTTTTGAATATGGAGACCACCACCCAGGTCTGCCTGTTCAGGGCAACTGCCCCTGATGTCCATGCGATATTGCAGAGCCACGTCAACCAACACAGCCCCACAACATCCCGAGCCTTGAGGAACTCTGCGGATCTCATCTCCACCAAACTTTCACAATACTTTTGGGCCCGCCAGGTTTGACTGGCATTCACCCCCACCATCGAAGCCAATTCACCAGCAGCTAGTGGTCATTTCAATGCTCTGCCCCTCTCTTCACCCAAGTGTCCAAGACATGCGGCCACAGATCAGATGAAATAACAAAGTCGATCATCGAGCTGCGGCCTAAGGTGTCCTGGTGCAGATTTACCGGTCGATCAGAGAAGAGCTGAACACGGCAGGATTTGGAGTCATATGTCCTGATATTTGGACATTTTGCCACGGATTGGATAACAGCACTGACACTTGTTTGCTCTGCGGCGTGGATGTTTTATCTCCACAAAAAACTCAAAGCTTGAAGGAGTTCTGCCATGTGGTAGAGTTGCTAATGCTAAGGGTTATCCTCTGCTAATCGAGACATTCTCTGCCATTCCCTGGACCCTAAACCAACAACAAACATTCTCTCAATTACATGCACTGTTCTGATCTCACCAACTCAAAGCATTTGTTACGTCCCTGACAGGTGTTGTAAAAATGTGAAGGATGGGGGTAACATAAGAACTGGCGGAGGAGTTTAAAATGGGTTTATTTGTAACTAAAAGGTATTAAAAACACAAGCAAACAGATCTCTCTAAAAGGTTAACATTACACAGCAAATTATCAACTATAAAACACCTGGTTAAAACTTTTATTAAAAGCTTAACCGAACAGAAGGTGTTTTAAAATCCCAAAGTTGATAACTGTTCCCAAAACTATACACTGACTAAAACACCTAGTAAAACGTATTTTAAAAAGCTTTACCACACGAAGGTGTTTAAAAACCGAGGTCAGTAAAATTGCACAAAGTTAACCTTAAAACCAAACAGCCAAAAAGATCCCACTGGATCATCCAAAACTTATCACTTAGAGTTAAAAACCACCACAGTTTAAAACTCAAACAAATCTAAATGAAAGGGGTTGAAAACAAACAAAAACCGGGAGGACAGCAGAACCCCTGCACTGCTGCCTCCCAGACTGCTGAAGGCACAGCCTTTTTATACAGGTGTTTGCTCATCAGGAAGATTTAGCTCAGCTGTGCTCCTCAGCAGCCCGGGAGAGAGGAGGAGGGGCGGTGTCAGGCTCATTCACTAGAGCTGGATGATCCTGGCTCCTGCTCTTCACTGGCCAGACTGGCAACCGTAACACATTAATACAACGGTTATGTGTGTGAGTATAAAGTTACAGCAGTTGGTAATTCATGAGTTTCTTTCTTTCCTACAGAAGTAATTCAAGTGGTGATGGTTAAAGAAGAAGCTCCTGAACATCAGAGTCCTGGTATGGACCAGCAGGACCCAGAACACCTCCAAATAAAGGAGGAACAGGAGGAACTCTGTATCAGTCTGGAGGGAGAGCAGCTCCATTTGAAGGAGGAGACTGATGCCAGGTTTTCATTCACTGCAGCTTCTATAAAGAGTGAGGATGATGAAGAGAAGCCTCTGTTCTCACAGATTCATCAGCAGCAAATAGAAGACAGAGATGTTTCAACCAGCAGCTCTGCTGACCAGATGAAAGCAGAAACTGGCAGGAACCCAGGTCTGAATCCTCATGAACCTGATTCTTCAGAAACTGAAGTTAGTGGAGATGAAGAAGAGGATGATGATGTGAATCTAGACTCTGAACTGTCAAAGCCAGAGACTGGAGATGGAGACAACGACAGAAATAAGAACAGGTCTGCGGAGTCAGATGTTAAAACTGCAAACAAATCCTTTAGCTGCCATGAGTGTGGTAAACGATATTTGCACAAGCGGTCTCTCCAGAGACACGTGAAAGTGACGAGTCATTCAGCAATAATGTCTTCAGGCTGTTTGAGTAATAAGAAATGTGTTGGAGTGAAGCAACATGTAGACTCGTGCAGGGAAGTCCAGACAGAACAAAAATCATTTAGTTGTGATGACCATGGAAAAAGATTTACCAGAATATCAAATTTAAACACAAACACGAGAGTTCACTCAGGAGTGAAGCCTTTTGCTTGTGAGCACTGTAGGCAAAGATTTAGCCAAAAGGTTCATTTAAACAGTCACATGAATGTCCACACCGGAGTGAAGCCTTTTCCTTGCAAGCTCTGTGGAAAAAGATTTAGAAAAAAGGGTAAGTTAAACATTCACATGAGTGTCCACACAGGAGTGAAGCCATTTTCTTGTGATTTATGTGGACAAAGATTTACTGAAAAGTCAAAATTAAAAAAACATATCAGGATCCATACAAGAGAGAAGCCTTTTGTCTGCGAGCACTGTGGACAAAGATTTATAAAAATGGCTAATTTAAACAGTCACATGAGAGTCCACACAGGAGTGAAGCCTTATGCCTGTGAGCTCTGTGGACAAAGTTATCGCCACAAGAAAAGTTTAAACTTGCACATGAGTGTCCACTTAGGTGTGGACTCAGATGTGCAAGATAAGCCTTTTATTTGTGAACACTGTGGACAAAGATTTAGCTTCAAGAAAAATTTAAACACACACATGAGTCTCCACACACAGGGTTCGTACGGATGCTTGAAATCCTTGAAAATGCTTGAATTTTAATAAGGTGTTTTCAAGGTATGGCAAATGCTTAATTTCTGTATAATTCCTTGAAAATACTTGAAAAACAAATTGCACAGTTTTGTATTTAAAATCAACCAAGGAAGTTTGTTAAAACCCTGTTATTTTTGTTACCGTCAAAAACTAGAGAGCGATCATTTAACCTTTAATTAACATGGTTGCTGCTGCTCTGAGTGGGTCAGCTCCTTTCTATAACTCTGGCGTGTTAGTAGCAGACTCCACCTACTATAGAGACGAGCCGCTGGACCAGCGGTAAGAAATATCTTTGTACAGAATTTTGGTGCTTTCCCAATCAGAAGTGCCTGTTATGAGCAGCAAAGCCCAGCTCCTCCCACTGCTGCAGACGTAGGCTGCTCTTTCTCTCGCAAACTTAGTCTACAAAACATCTCTGGGTTTGTGGAGTTGGACTAATAATAACACAAAAAAAAAGTTTTGGCTGCATCTTGTGAATATAAACCTCAACAGAGGTAAATATATATACTTGGACAAAATAGTTGGTACCCTTTGGCCAATGAAAGAAGAGCCCACAATGGTCACAGAACTAACTCGAGTCTGAAACTAATGATAAATACAAATTCTATGAAGTTTATCTAATAAAAGTCAGACATTGCTTTTCAACCATGCTTCAACTGAATTATTTTAAAAATAAACTCATGGAACCGGCCTGGGCAAAAATGCTGGTACCCCTAAGTTAATATTTTGTTATACAACCTTTTGAGGCAATCACTGCATAAAAAAAAAATCCTGTAACTTTCAAAGAGACTTCTGCAGTATTTTGGCCCTCTCCCCATGAGCAAACTGCTCCAGTTATCTCGGGTTTGAAGGGCGCCTTTTCCAGACGGCTTGTTTCAGCTCCGTCCAAAGATGCTCAACGTGACTGAGGTCAGGGCTCATTGGCCTTTTTTAAAAGACACACCATGCTGTCAAATCAGTGTAATACTGCCACCATGGTGTGTCTTATGAACGTGCCGTGGGCGATGTGGGAATTTTGCAGCATTTGTGCTGCCACCCTTGGTAGTTATATTGCTGCAAAGTCGGACTTGTGAATGCATATTACACCCTGGAGCAACAAAGAGAGGCGGCATGATCACATGTGGAATTAGTGCCGAGCTCCAGCTGACTACAATATTGACCCAAAGCAAATGTGGCGATAAGTTTTGCTTTACTGGAGCGATGAAGAGCTCTGGGAGCTGACAGAAGTAATAATAAATAAAAATTATATGAAATATAACCAATGAAAGTCAGACATTGTTTTTTAACCATGCTTCAACAGATTTTAAAAAACTCATTAAACAGACATGGACAAAAAAGATGGTACCCCTACAAAAGACTGAAAATAATGTGACCAAAGGGACATGCTAATTTAAGGTGTGTCCACTAATTAGCATCACAGGTGTGTATAATCTTGTAATGAGTCAGTGGGCCTATAGGGCTCTTTAGTCACTGTGTTGTTTGGTGTGAAATGCCCACGGTCTTTTGACATGTTTGGTTGTGTATCCTCTGTATTCTGGTGAAATTAGTCAAACTGACATCCAGGTCACATGACGAACATTGAAACTTGATTAAATTTTTTCAATCTCTACGGTGAGGTCTGGCTTTACTAAAGGTCCTCACACATGTTATGCTGGTCTTTACTTCCTGCCACTTTAAATCTTTTTGTCTGTGTGTCTCATATTAAGTAAGTAGCAAATAAGATGAATCATTAAGGAAAGACACAAATTCACTGGTGTTTGTTAAAATATCTTTTTGTGTTTGGTTACATTTTATCTGACTGAGGGTGGTTGAGCAAAAATCCCGTGACCATACCAGGTTCTGACCGCTAGGGGGCGCCACCTGTAGGTGGTAAGCTCAGTGTAAGTTGGTGTGGAGTTTGGGTGACAGGGACTCTGGGGGGAGATAGTATGATAGAAGGTGGAACAAGCTTCTTGGAGGGTGGTGATGGCCTGCCTTTCTCCAAATCTACCTCTTCTAGACCTCCTGGGGGTCAAAGTCGGACACTCTGTTTTCAGACACAGTTTAAAGTAAAAGAAAAATATCCAAATTAAATTGGGCCGATACTTGTGCTATTCTGTTAAATGTTATTTGCTACAGAATATATTAAACAGAGCCTAAAAGGGTATAAAATGAAGAAAAAGGTACTATGATACTTTTTATGCCAAAAAGGCCTTTGACCACATGTCTCTGAAGGTCTGAGGTCATCTCTGCTTTTGTTTTACCTTTCTGTGGCCTTAATAGCGCTCTGTAGATAATGATGCACTACACATTAGTGATTATTAGGGTTACTAGCAAAGAGGTAACGGCCAAACCAAATAGTTCAGAATCACTTCATATGATGAATGACAGAACTACAGCAGTAACACACATCCGCTCACACAGATGTCAGAAATGTAGGCGTAGACAGTAGAGATGGAGGGATTAACACTAAACTCCATAACATTAATTCCACGCTGAGTGGAAAAACCTACAGAATTATGGAAGCAGAAAAGTTGCAACCCTACCATGTGGACCTCCGTCTGCTCCCAGTTGTAGTCCAGAATGTGTTGATGGTCTGGTGGAGGGCCATACCCTGCTGAGAACTGGGCCAGTAGCAGTTATCACCAAGCGTGAGCACAAGCTCCATCTCCCGGGTTTGGATAAATTCAACTACTGAATATTTGTCTGGAAAAGAAAAACCACAAGACATATCAATATGTGACAGTATGAGCGTCCTGTCACAATGTCCCTATTGATCATGCGCCCTGGCTACTTGGCCATTGGGATGTCCCTTTGGCTGACTGGTTAGAGCGTATGACTCTCACCCGGGAGTCTGGGGATCGAATCCCGCCCGGGCCCTCGTTTATCCACCTTGCCACAAATATAATCTAAACACCAGTAATAAATGATAAAGATGTGAAAACCTGTGTTTAACTTTGTGCACCACTGCTATTCAGCAGGCAGTTAAACCAAATACATGGAGAGGCTAACAGAAGAGAAAAACAAAATAGTTTTTTACTTGTAATTTTTATATAAGCAAGAATTGACCAACACTGCCTCATTTCCATGTCATGAATACAAAAAGTTTCTACAATATTTAAAAGACATTGAAAAAAACAGACTGTCAAAGCTTCCATCCATTCATATTCTCTAAAGACAAAGCAAGTTTTCCAGAGACTTAACTATGTTTCCATTCAAAGCAATGCATTACACACCCATCCCCCCACTTGAAGTTTTGATTCTGGTATCACTGCTAAAAGCTCCGCCTCCTCATACTGAACTACTTCCACCAGGGAGGAGGAAACTGGTCCATGGTTATGGCCTCACTGTAAAACGTTCCATCTCAGACATTTGATGAGTAACCCAAGCCAGTGGATGGTGTGAAGTTCCAACCATCTTCTTCAACTTGCCCACATAATCTTCAAATAGAACTCCTGATATTATTTCCAGACAAACAAACAAGACAAGTTAGTTAAATGCAAAGTCATTAAGAGAGGCAGACGAAGGACTAGATAGACTGAAACAACATAAAGTTGTTATAGGCAGAAGATTAACCCTCATAAGGAGAAATACTGGCCCTGTGTACAACAGAAACTGGTGTAATTCTGTAGCTTTCCACTTCAGCCTTTGAGTGTCCTTAGTTTGTGAGCCAAATCTAATAGAATAAAAGGCCTTGGGTCAACAAGTTTCCTTGATGTTTGATCTATTTGACAACAGTCCTGCTGTAAACCATACATCAAGACATCTAACCCCGAGGTAAACAAGGTGCACGTATTCATGAGGAAAGCCTGAGACCTACCAAGTCCTGCACCTGTTGATGGAAAGTTTATGACACGGTGTTCTTCGTCAGACATTGGTTCAGAGCGTTGTGGACTGTCATCCTAAGGTAAATGCCCTTAGATACACTTCTAACCAGGGGTATACCTGCTGCCTCATTACCCTGTGCCTTCTCAGGTTTATGCCCCTCCATTGCTCAAGAAGATGATACGTCGTTGCTGAGGGGGAAGACGTGGTTGTGGATGCTGTAGCCCCTGAACTTTTGTCTGGGGATTTCAAAGATGAGCCCATTGATCATGATGAAGACCTCAGCTTGGGGAGCAGTGTTTCTTCATCCACCAGACTGGAATATGCCAGTCTACATGTTCACAAGCCACAAAGCTTCTGGGAGAATGTCCTATGGACAAATGAAACAACAATGGCACATCAGCTCTATCTTCACAGACGAGAAAATAAAGCAAATAAAGAAAAGAACACTGTCCCTACTGTGAAACACGGAGGAGTCTCTGGTATGTTCTGGGCTGCTTTGCTGCATCTAGCACAGTGTCTAGAATCTGTGCAGGGTACAAGAAAATCTCAAGACTATCAAGGGATTCTAGAGAGACATGTGCTGGTCAGTTTCAGAAAGTCTGGTCTCAGTCGCAGGTCATGCATCTTGCAACGGGGCAATGACCCAAAACATACCGTTAAAAACACCCAAGAATGGCTAAGAGGAAAACCTTGGACTATTCTTAAGCTCCCGGAGCTCTTCATCACTCCAGTTTACCATCACAGCTGATTCTGTTTAAAGCAAAACTTATTGCCATGTTCAAGGGCGTCAGTTTGTTTTCAGAATTGCTGGGGACAATAACCATACACTTGAGTGGGGTTTAAAAATTGCTGGGCACAATAAAGTAAGCTAGCACAAGGGTCGGCAATCCGCGGCTCTGGAGCCGCATGCGGCTCTTCCATCCATCTGATGCGGCTCTCTGTGCTTGTAAAATAATGAATGGATATTTAAATAAAATGCTTTATATTTTACTGCATTAATTTTATATCTGTAAGCTAATTCTAAATGTAAAGACTGTCTGCGTAAACCTGAACAGGCCCAACCCGGTCTTACTGTGAGACCGGGTTGACGGGTCACGCTTGTGCGTAATCATAGGCGCTTCCTGAGCTGACGAGGATGTGAGATTCTGGGCTTCTCCTCAGACGGCTCCTGGATGTGTTGCCACATTGGAGACAGGAACAAGCACTATTCAGCCAATGTTTCATAATCAGGGAACATTTTCTAAGTGACAAGTCTCGCTTCAGTCGGAGGAATCTTCCCGCATGCGCTCTGGTTCTGCGACGCGCTCCAAGCCCCTCTCCACATCTTCAGCTCTGCACTAGGTCCACAGCGAGCGCTGAGCAATGTCCAGCTCAGATGTTCATATGGGAATCTTTTCTTGAGTGATTTAGCTACATCTGCAATTTAAGTGGAATACAATGTCAGTTCGTCTCCATGCGTCGGGGTAATTCTTTCTATTCTTTCTCCGTCAAAATAAACGGTCAAACGGCCAAAACGGGAACTATCCGGTCAGCACAAGCCCTGCTTTTAACTGTTCTGTTTTCTTGTGAAAATTGTTGCAAAGAGATAAAATTAAACTTGATTAACACCAGAGCCAGGCGCACTGCACCGTTATCGCCGTCACTGTAAATGAGGGAAAAACAAATTGATCGGATCCTTTTCTGACCTTCCCCAGTTTAAACTGTTCAGAATACAAATCCAGGCTCTGTCTCGTTAGATTGGTGCAACTAAAGTTTGTACTGAATGAAACTACATTAAACCATGTTGAAAAGAAAAGGATCTGATTAAATCGTTTCCCCCTCATTTACAGTCACGAAGTACAGCTTATACGCGTGGCTCTGGGGTTAATCAAGTTTAATTGTTTCTCTTTGCAACAATCTTCACAGGAAGGCAAAACAGTTAAATGGCAGGTTACAGATATTTACATTTGACTTTTATTTTGACGGATAAACTCAAGGATGTTGGTTGTTTTGAAAGAATTACCCCGACGCACACTGATGCACACACAGATGAGCTGCTTTAATCGTTACGCACATCGCGGAGGTAACTAAATCCATCAAGAAATGATTCCCATCAGAACATCAGAGCTTTATACTGGACACTGTGTTCAGCGCGGCTCGGAGCGCACACGGTGGACAGTCGGCTGAAGATCTGCAGAGGGGATCGCAGCGCAGCGCAGAACCACGGTGCAAGCGATAAGATTTCCTCCCACTGAAACAGTCTGGAAACCTGGTCTCTCTGAGGGATGTGTCACTTGGAAAAATGTTCTTTTTATGAAATTATGAAACTTTGGCTGAACAGCGCTTTTTCCCGTATGGAGACGCATGACGCATCCAGTCTGAGGCAGAATAGCCTCTTCAGCTCATGCACTGTAGAGACATTTGATCACGCACAAAGTTTATGTGGAGCAGAAGCGGTCGGGCCACGGCAGGTGAAATGTTCCTAGCCTACATGAAGTGAAACTGTTTAATTGTAACATTAATATGTTACTGGACACGCTGGTCTGGTTGGTTAGACCAGTGTTTGAAGTGGAAAACACACACACACAGACCAATTAAAATAGTGCTGATGGCATGGACTAGAAGACAGGTGATGGTTTACGTATTTAAATGATGATCAGGCTGCTGTAAAATGTAATCTCCATCCACATCCAGACAGAATTATCCTCTATTCTTTCTCTATTTGCTCTGCGCTTGTCTGGGCTGACGTAGCTGATGGTGCGCGCGGCGTGCCTAACTAGCGGCTGATGCACATTTTACGCATTTGGAGAGGTGGGCTGGATG